GCAGTCAATAGCAACCCCCCCCCCCCCCCCCCCCCCCCCCCCCCCCCCACTCGAGTTCAAAGGAGCCTTTATAGGAAGGATAGAAATATGCATTGCCAAACCTCCCAGCAACAGACACCATCATCTCTCTCTGGCTCGTTCTACCTTTCTATCTCTGTCTTTGTCTCTGTTCCACTCACATTATGTCTTTTTGTTATTGCCTCATCGTGACTTTCTCACAAAGACGATATATCTATATGGTATATATAAGGTTTATTAGGAATTTTTTACGTGTAACGACACACATCTTGTGTAAGATATAATCCAGCCTGATCCAGCAGCTATCTTAAAATAACACATGACACAGAAGTTGAGGGTTTGCCTAAAGAAGTATTTATTACAGGTCTTCACAGGTCCAAAAAGTTGTACCTGACTTGAAATGGACCCCTGGAAAACCTACCTAAACCCAACGAGCATGAATTAGGATTTAAACGGTAGAAATCCAGAGTATTACCAGATCTGAATAGAGCCAAGGATATTTAAAATTAAAATTAAAATAAAATTCTTTTGACCTAAACAAACCCTAATAAAGAGAGAACACCAACACAGACAGTGTTATCAATAAACAAGCAGCCGTGGATTTGAAAAGAACAGCAATGTGATAATGTCATAAGATCTTTAGTAAAGGCATAAAGTAAATCCAAAAAATTATTATTTTATATGCTTCAGGGAATAAATTGTAGAAATAATTGAAAGTCCTAGTTTCACATTCACCAGCAATAAAAATGATGTAGCCAACTGGGCAATAAGATTCAAATCATCAAGCTAATTTATTATCTGTGATATAGGTCCTTGGCAGGAAAAGGACCCTCTAGCTAAGTGATTATGCTTAATTTACATTAATTAGACTGAATTTGGACCCAGTCCGACTCAGGAGTCATAAATACGAAACGCACTGAATCCAATGGATAACATATTAAAGGAAGGACACTTACGTCCAACATAGTCTCAAGATGTTAAAAACCAAGATTACATCAGTAAACTTACCCCGTAATAAATATTAATATCACAATGCTCAAATACAACAGCAACAAACATCTAACTGGTGACTTGAGTAAACTTCCATTTACATAATTATTTACTAATAAGGAACATATTTGTATTGTTTATTTATTTATATTTTATTTATTATGACATGTGTGTGTTACCTGAAAATTATTTGATGTTGTTTGATGTAAACGACAAGGCCTTTAAAGATATTCAGCACCATGCCGGCCATCATCCATCATCAACCACTTCTCCTGCCTACAGGGTTGCGGGGGGGCCGGAGCCTATCCCAGCTGACATTGGGCAAAAGGCAGGGTACACGTTGCCAGTCCATTACAGGGCCACACATAGACAAACAACCACTCACACCTAAGGACAATTTTAGAACGTAGCCTGCATGTCTTTGGATGTCGGGAGGAAGCCAGAGCACCTGGAGAGAACCCACACAGATAACACGCAAAGAAAGGCTGGGGCAACCAGGGTTTGAACCTAGGACCTTCTTGCTGTGAGGCAACAGTGCTAACCACTGCTCCACCGCATCACCCTGCTGGCCTTTAGTCATACTGAAAACACAGAGAAAACATAGTTTCTGCTGCTTGAACAATGGCACAGTATGTTTTCTTTATGTGTAAGTGTGTATATAAATATTTCCTGTGGTTACGTTTAAACGCAGCATGAACAGAATGCAACAAATAGATGTGTGTATGCAGCACTTGACCTGTGAAAGTGTGTTCCCATTTCTTTCTTTATGTGATGTACAATACACTTAGCAGTTAAGCAGTGTGTTGTTTTATAGTGTCATTATGTGTGTGTGTGTGTGTGTGTGTGACTGCTTGTGCGTGCCTAAAGCAACACCCCAGTATTAGTCTGTGATTGCAGTCGTGATTTGTCATTTTGTGCTTTCTATTGTGTGTTTGAGTGTGCCCTTCTATTTGAGGGTGGGTTTTGAATGCTGCAGTTAGGTGTATGTGTATGTGTGTGTGTGTGTGTGTGTGTGTGCTTCCGTGCCTGCTTACGAGTACGTGTGTGAGGATGTCAATTTAAAGCCATTCAAATTTGTGCGTGTTGTCTGTGTGTATGTGCATATTCCAGAGCACGATTGGAAGTGGGTCTATTTCTTTTGCAGTCGCTGATGTGCCCCTGTGTGTGTAATTGAAATACCTGAGTTATTGACTCTCTCTCCCCACCAAGTCAAATAACTGCTCCCAGAGTGTGTGAGTGCACTCATTTGGAGGCTGTGGGGCAGAGCAGGCAACTCTGGCAGACCAAGGCCTGTCAACCATTGACTACACACTCTCACACACACACACACACACAGAAACACACAGACATAACAGAGAACCCTACTAAGGCCAAACCTACAGAAATACAGACATGCAGGCACACAGGCAACACGCAGGCACACACAGGCACCCCCCCCACACACACACGCTTCCCGTTGAGGAGGGCACACATGTATCCCATCTCTCTCTTCCTCTCTGTGACAGCATTCCTCTGTGGCTGAACAACTCAGGCTTAGCCTCCTCCTGCCTTAATGGCTGGCTGACTGGCTGACACACACCTCCGTTTGCCTGCTCCTTCACTGACTCCTGGCTTCCTGCCCCTTCACTGCTCACTCGCTCCACACAGGATCACAGCCTGTCTGCCAGCCTGGCCTCTTCCTCTCCATTCATCCTATTGTCACCACATTGTCCTCTGCTTCTTCCTTGGACGCTTCAAATATCAGCTACATCCTCGCTGCTTTTTGTACATCTCTATCTTTTATTCTCGCTTGCCTAATTCCTTTGGCTTCTCTCTGTTTTCCTCTTTTCTCTTATCTGTTCCCTCCTCTATGGTTTTATCTGCTCTTTTTCTATCTCTCGCCGTATCTCTCCATCTCTTTCTCCCCTGCCTCTGCTGGCCATTCATCTCACTGTATTGTGTGGTGTAGTGTATTGTTGTCTGTGTACAGTAGCCAGCACTGACGTCAGCCGTGGATCCACAGAGAAGACAGTGACCGGCTCAGAAGCGTATTCAAAGCCCTGCTGGCTGGCTTCCTGCGTCTGGCTGACTGACTCGCTGGCCTCGCCATCCCCTCTGAGAATTTTAAAACTCACTAATCGATCACCTTGTGCCACTAGAGGTGATAATGTGGCCAGACCCTAATTATTGTTGCTGTAAATGAAGAGAGGTGTTTTGCAGCACTTCATTTTATTCAAGGTTTCTTATCATTCAACCTGCTCCCACCAGTGTTATTTTTCTTTTACTACCATATCGCTCTTTCCCTGCTTCTGCATCTGTCTTGCTCTTCTTTTAGCATGTATTTTGCTATTACTAATGAAAATTCTGCAGGCCTCCTGGCACTCTGAATGACTGTGTTGGACAGTACATTAATACTTCTCTTAAGAAGGGAGAGATAGAGAGAGGAAGCCAGAGGAATTGGGGTGGGGGGGTTGTGTAATAGTGAGAATAACGGGGGGAGCGGGAGTGCGCAAATCTGGAAATTCAATTATAACTGTGCCCTGGCAGTAATTCCACTAGTATAAATGGGATGGCAGGGCGAGAGAAGAGATGGATAAAGATGGATGAAGGATGAGAGAGAAAGGGGCAGAGAAGACATAGAAAGTTGAGAAACAAATGGATTCAAGTTAGGCGAGAGACATGAGTGCAACATCAGCGTGTGCATCATTATTTTGTGATTTTGAACCCTGCATTAATTGCACATGTGACCTCATGTATGCTGCGCATTCCACTCATTATTTGCAAACGCGTTCAGCAAGTGTTTCACTTTCACATTGTCTCAACATGCCACCTCAATGGTATAGCCCTGATCTCATTAATGCAGAAACATGGTAACAGATCATCCAATGTGCATCCCCTGGGAGGGGCAGGTTAGTCTTTGATGTTGAGTGAAGCACAAAGAGAGTCCTAAGAAGCCAGAGAGATTTCAGCACCCTGCCTGCCTGCCTGTCTGCCCTGGCTGTCAGCTACAACTGATTTTACTCATATATAGTCCACAATCCAACACGAAACGCACAACAAAATCCTCATCATTCATATAATTTGTCCCATTAGAAGCATTAACTTCATCTTCATCCAAGAACATAAACACACTACTGCACAATAACAGTAGTGCAGTGGTGATGGGGCAGTGGATAAGAAACATGCAGGTTTGAATCCACTGTGAGACACCAATGTGTCCGTGAGCAAGACACTTAACCCCTAGTTGCTCCAGAGGTGTGCGACCATATATAGCAATTTTAAGTGGCTTTGGATAAAAGCGTCAGCTAAATGAATAAATGTAAATGTAATGTAACATTGCAGAACAGCAGAGGCTTGTCTAGACTAGCATGTCTCACCTCCTCCTCCTCCTCTTCTGTCCCTCTCAGTATTCCATTTCAACACTGGTGGCAGGGTGCAGGTTTGGAGCGACGTTTATAAGAGTTTATGTCTCTAACTGTACTGCTGTTTTGGTTTGCTGTACATTCTGTATCTCCCATGGGAAGGGGGTGAGTCACTGACTGTTTCATGTACAATGTGTCCAGGGGTAGGTTCATTTCCAGTGTATTCATTGCGTAATACCTAGGACCTTGCAGATTACATTGAAATTTCAGGGTTCCAACACAGCTCTAATAAAAGAAATTGATGAACATGATTGATGAGATTAAGGACAGCAGCCTTGAGTCCCCAGAATTTGCTCCAGCCACCCCCGTGTACAAACTCATTAAAGGAGTCATAAAGGCAACTAATGAAAATCATGACCGGTATCATTACAAGCCCAGTGGCGTCCTCTCGCCTTTCTCCTCTGTGAGCAAGAGAATAAAAGCAGCTAAATTAATGTTCGCACCAGTAACGTTACAGAATCACTGCCATCCTTTAAGTAGTATCTGTTCTCCTCTGTGTGTATAGCCAACTAAATTAAAGTTCAGGCCAATATTGTTACGTAACCATTTACACTCTGCCTCTGTTCCACTGTGTGCTTCTGCCATTTTCAGGATGACAACTCCATGTTCTTTCAATTTGGCCCCTCCATCGAGCAGCAGGCTTCAGTCATACTAAACATCATGGAGGAATACGACTGGTACATCTTCTCCATCGTTACCACGTACTACCCGGGTTACCAAGACTTTGTCACCAAGGTAACCGCACTCATCAGAGACGACATGCACCAATAATCAGGACGTAAAGACAACATGACACAGACGAATGAATTAGCTTAGATGATCACTTGAAATTTTGCAGCCCTGAACTGGGGAATTTACTGTATAAAGAAATATATAAAAACATATAGTATTCAATGGTGGGGATGAACCATTGGACCCATGAACCTTTCTAATAATCCCAATTTAGAGGATTTTCATCAACAATTATATAATGTTGGTCCACTTGAAAAACGATGCTGCAGTGTTGCTTTATTTAACAATGTCATCCTCATACAATAATGATAATGATACAAATATCTTGTACAAATTTGTCAATAAATTACATAATTGATATACACATTGCAACCTTACTTGTGTTGACAAAAAGCAAAAGTCTTAATTGTTGGAGACTCCCAGATTATTAAACAAACTATTGCCTTATGATCAGCCTCTTCTTCCTATGTCCCATCCAGATTCGTAGCACCATTGAGAACAGCTTTGTAGGCTGGGAACTGGAGGAAGTTTTACTACTTGACATGTCCGTAGATGACGGAGATTCAAAGATCCAAAACCAGCTGAAGAAGCTCCAGAGCCCCGTCATTCTTCTCTACTGCACAAAAGAAGAGGCCAACACCATCTTCGAGGTGGCCCACTCTGTTGGGATTACTGGCTACGGCTACACATGGATAGTGCCCTCGCTGGTCGCTGGAGACACTGTTGTAGTGCCTGCAGAATTCCCCACAGGTAAGAAATGTGATCTGGCAAGGGTACTCATAATTAAGGTGTAAAAACTCCAGAACTACATCCACCAAGCTCATTTCAGCATGAACCTTTGTTGTGTAATCAGGTTCTTAAACTTGGTCACAAAAAGTGTGATGGCCAGGCAGACATACTGATGGAAGTGTTCATTCTGGAGTTTGCTGTGCTTGACTTGTAGTCATAGTCCATGCTGACCTACTGCCCAGTCTTATAGTCCAACTCATTTTACAGTTACCGTACTGGTAGCCTGATGTGATGTTTTCAGATGGTTTAGTTTTGTGGTTCTTACCTCAGTACTCTGAGAAAGTTTGGTTTTTTGTAGTGGCATTTTACCACTTTTCACAATGGCCAGCTGTTTCATTGAAAATTATGCATGCTGGTCTAATGATTCTCTTTTCATTGTTAACTTGCTAACTTTTCCCTCGCATGGCTGGTTTTAAAGATGCCATTCTTCCTTCTCAATGGGGGATCCTACAGTACCTCTGACAACAAGCTTGCTAAATACAACTACTAGCCTAGGAAACTCTTCCTTGATTCTGAAGTGCTACATGATGACCAACTAGCTAAGGAGGTTGACAGTTGTGTTCCAAAATCAATTACTTAGGATACATATAAGTAGCTAGCAATTTACATTTAGGAAACTTGTGACAATTACTAATGGTATCATGGTAAATGCTAAAAAGTAGTGGAACAATAGCACAAGTAGTGAAGAGTCATGATGACAGCAAAATTACATGTCAGGTTCACAGCAATTTGTATCTAAAGTTTGCTAATTTTAGCTAACATTAGCCACCTGAAGATACTAGTTAGACCAGACCAAGAGAGGCTGTAGCAGCAAACTAGTGTTTTCAAACTTTATATTGTCTCAGTTTAAGAAAACACTTTTGAGTTTTGTGGCCTTTATTTCACAATCTTCATCATCACCTAATAGGAGTTATGAAAGGCCACCAAGTGGACCTTATTTGTCAAATTACTATCCCAAGGTCAGGAATGAGCTTTCACACTTGTGACTCTGGTGGTGGTTGCAAGGCTAACAGCACTTACGCTAGCTTGGAAACAGCAGTGTTATGATGCTGTTGTGATTGTGCTCTTGCCTTGATCGCTTGTGGTGATGTTAGCCTGGTGTACAGCAGCAAGGCTGAAGTATCTCACTTTACCCTTCATAGGGACCGGGCTAAAATACTAAAATGTTAGTAACTGCTCATGAAAACAAAGACAAAGTAACCTACCCTTATCCATGAGCTGGCAATATCAATCTGCTGAAGTTATTATTTCGATACTTGGCAAACTTGACACCACAAAACAAACACTGAACCTTTAAATTTTATTTTCCAAATTTTATTTTTAGTTAACTATTTGGATTTTTCCTGCAAGACAAAATACAAGCTGACCTTTCCAATAAGAAGAGAAGGAGCGTTTCTCCACTGCTCACCTCCCACAACTCCACTGGAGGTCATTTTAACCTTTGAAGGTCAAATGTGGAACTTAAGTGACATCGAAGTTGGGGTGCATTAACCACACAACCTGCTCACGCAATCTGTCAGACATAACTGTCAGACTGCCTCATGTAACTCGACTTTCAGTACTTGGGGGCGGACAGACACTGTTAGAAAGGCCAACTCTCAGTGGGAATCAAACCTGAAACTGTTAGTGGTGTTGCCACCATGAGAACGTAGTCTGTCTTACTCTTTGTCATACAGTAAACCTTAGAGCAGGTAGTATATTTACGCTGGACATATGAGCATGATAATTTGTTGGTGTTTGGCTCGTTGATTTACAGTGAATGGGAGATATTACACTGCATGTCCTCAGCAGTTTCTGGGAAATGGCTGCCAGACGGAACCTGAGATCGTTAGGCCGTTCAAGCACCGTAACTCAAACTTTTTACCTCTGCTCCCTTATTGGCATCCATGGATGATTTACTCTAAATGGGAGTTAGGAGTGTGTTTGTGAGCCTGTGTGTGTGTGTGCTTGTGAGTTTTGTGACTTTTTGTGTAATGTCTGTGAAATGTGTGATTGTTTCATAGTTTAATTTGCATCAGAAAATAATGGGTGAGTGTAATCAAATGGGTTTAGTGTTTGTGCTTATGTGTGTACCTCATATGGAGGAGTGTTTACTTGTAGACCAGGGTGAACAAAACTATGGTTGTGTGTGTGTGTGTGTGTGTGTGTGTGTGTGTGTGTGTGTGTGTGTGTGTATCAGTTTGTCTGTTCCAAAAAAGGGTTCCACTCTATAAAGTTTGATATATCACCATATCAGTTATGTAAATCACACAACAACTTCCCTTGTGATTTATGTTGCCACAGAGATAATTGTGACTAGCTCATGCACTGCCTGGATGATTACGAAGTGGAGCTGGCTGCGTTGATGGACACACACAAACCTATTTCAGTTAACATTGAATTATCATGGGATTAATCATAAGAGACATGATGACAGATAGTAGGCTAAATGCCATTCACTCATGTAAAGCCTGATGAATGGGATACAGAATGTGCCTTTATATACCCATTCGGGAGGCTAGTATAAGTTAGACTAGTCTAACTTATAGACTAGTCTAACTTATACAACAAAATGAATAGTTAGTTAAATAAATAAATAAAATCTTGTATTTATGGAAATATTATAAAATATGATGTTGCATGGCAGTATGCATAGAATTCATTTTATAGTTTGAATGTTGAATAAAAGTCAGGATACAGATGGCTGAGCTTCTGTTCACAGCACAGCTGCAGGATCTGTGCTTGTCAATGCTGCCCTCTGCCAATAAAACTAACATGATGGTAGGATTTTACCAACAGCAGCAGTAACAGACTGTAAAAACCTGCACTGAGAGCAGCATCGCCTTCATAATGAGCTGCCAAGGCATCTGAAAGACAACTTATTTGGTAGTTTTTGGATGTTTTTAGTATTGCAGATGCATTGGTATCCAGGCAATAGCATTTTTTGCCACGAGAAGATAGATTTTAAGTGAATATTAGGCTGAATGAACCAGGATGAGGATTCCACCATACAAAAGCAAGATACTGACATACTGTTTGTAGACAGTAGGCATTCAACTGGAGAACTCAATCATTCAACCAAGCTGTGATTCTGAGTTTCAACCTCAACCACATGAAGCCTGTAGTGGCAGTCAACCAAACTAAGTTCTGAACTATCCCAGAGCGAAACAACACCATGGCACAGCATGTGACTAATGGTGTGGTGGTGTGTGCTCTGGGTGAATCCACCAGTTCAGGGTTCAGCAGAAGGTGCACACTAGCTGTGGGGTGAATTTGCTTACTAGGCTCACTTAATAATTTGCACCATGTGTGATGAAGAGCCTCCAATTCTCCTGGGTAATTCCACTGATGCCTTCCTTAAGTGGCGCTCTGGGGAACCATCTCTCCTCCCACTCTTCTCCTTCCTTTCCTTTCCCCCTTATTTTATGCTGTTGTTCCTTGCTTCTCTGTTTTTCTTGTCTCACTATTTCAGCCTCCTCTGACTCTACAAAACTCTACTCCTTACAGTTTTTCATATGTCTTTTTCTCCTTTATCTTTGTGTCTCTGCTGCTGTCTGGCTTTCTCCCTTTCCTCCTCATCCCTCTCAGCTCTCTCACTAACAGCATTTCTGCCTCTACTCTTCCTGATCAGAATTACACACCACTGCTGCGCAGACTTTGCTAACGTAACCACCCAATCCGACATCACTTACAATAATAAGCTGTTTCCAAAAATACCCAGTGATACTGTTACGTTCTCCAATCAGTTTGCTGGCTTGTGAATACTCTGTGTCTGCAGTTGTTTTGTTTTTTTGTCGTTGTCTATGTGCATATGTGTGTGCGTGTCTGTGACAGGGAGACAGAGGCAGTAGCCAGTTTACAGGCCAGAACATGGTTTTACAGCTGCCACAGTGCTGTTCGGCTATAACACTGCCAGTTTGACATGTCTGTGTTGTGACATTTAATCGTGTCCTGAGAGATGTATGAACATATACGCAGCACTTCCCTAGTTGTAGAAAAGAATACACCATACACATGCGCATCACACACATGCTGCCAACACACACCCATGCATCTTCCTATGAAAGAATCTTTCCCATTAATTAATAATTTTAAATTAGATATTAATAAAAGAGACGTGTGCAAAAAGGAACAAGCAATCGGAGTGAGTGACTGTTGAAAAAGTGTCAACAGTGTGTGACATTAGCTGTGGTCCTGGAGGGCCGGAGCTGTCAGTGCTGAGGCCCCACGAGGAAGGCAGGTTGCCGGGCCGCCTGTCTATTTCTGCCCACTGACATGGTAGTGGACTGGCTGACATGTGGTCATACTCTGTCAAATATAGCGACTGATGGACAGAGAGAGTGACCGATTAAAAGCCAGACAGATAGCTTGATAAATTGACTTGAAGGCAGTCTGTGCTTTACTGACAGCCGTGTGACCTGAACCCAGAGGCGTCCGAAGTGTCCCAAACAGAAGGATCAGTTATTGGCCATTTTCAGAAGTCATAAGGGCACGGTGCTGAGAGTTTAGATAAGACCAGGCTTTTGATCTGGAAGCTTTTCACGTCAAAATGACCATTGAATAAATCCACCCCCTTAGTTACTATTGCTACGCCTGTCAAGCTTTACAGCTTGAACAGAACAGAAGTCTGTTTTAGCACAGCACATATGCAGTTTACACTGTGGCAGATTTTCCACTTGAAAGTAAAAACAGCCTTTTTTTGCTAGCAAATTTGATCAGCTGTAGCTAGCCAGCCCAAACAAATGCTAAAATGGTATAAAATGAGTTGTTTGAAAACTCCGTCTCTAGCTGTCTTTTTAACGTTTCCATGTAATTACCCTTGAATGAGTTGAAAGCTTACGGCATTCTTTAACAAGCAACACCATTGTAAGATGTATGCTTTAATGTTCATGTTTTTAACGGTATAGTCCACTTTTACCAAATAAATAGCAGGGCAGAGCAAAACCTTTTTATGCCAAACTCTGATATAGTAGCACTTTGGCTCCCCTGCAGAAGATATTCCAGTCCTGAAGGTATTTTTCTAATAACCTGTAACCTATAACCCAACAAAATGTAGTTGGCTAATGATATGCCCCTTGCCTTTGAATTTACACTAGATTACTACTGTAGGTTGTAGGTTAGTTAGCCAGACATGCAATGTTTGTAGCTAACATTAGAGCAGAAAAATACACAATTTAACCAGTTTCTTACACTTTTACTCTTGTGGTTTTTGGTTTCGGAGAGGTTATAACAAAATCCATCCAAATGCTACACCGAGTTTTGTTTTTACTACAGTCCCATGCACAACACTTTAACATGTGGAGAAATCCAAAGCTTGACAGACTTTGCCTTGATGTAAACCTTGGGGACTATCATGAGTTTATAGCTGCCCTACTGGACTTGCTGATTGACCTGAAGTGTAATTCTATGGTTAATTGGGTGGTCGCGACCCATACATGTTGAAAAAATGATTAACTGTATATACAAATATACAGTATGGTATATATACTGACTACTGTATATAAATAAAGATCCAAGATGGAAAATTGATTCAAAACCATTAAATCCCTTGAGAGCTGAGCTCAAGGACAACCCCACCAACCTGATAAAATCCTGACAGCGGTGAAATAGAGAGCTAAATGATTGGTCATTAAAAAGAGATAAACATTGTGTACTAGGCTCACTGCTGGGCAGCATGCGCTGTGTGTCATCAATTAATGGTGACTATTTGTCATAAGTTAATCATTATCAATAACGGCGGTTTAATATCAATGAAACTCATTATCAAAATGTCATCTGTGTTTTAATAGATGCATAATAAGTTTCACAGTAAATTGACTCTTTGCAAAGCGTTTCTCTGTTTTTTTCATTTTTTTCCTTTTAGATTGATAGTATATCAAGAATAAATGGAACAAAACACATTGATAAAATAAGTTATGTCTTCTAGGATCCATAAAGGTAAATCATTCTCATTTGTTATTAGATGACTTTCACTAGGCTGCTCGCATATGTGGGTTTGTGTGAATCTAAGCAGTGGGAGGATCCTCAGCCTGCCTTCCCTGGACAAATGCAGGTAAAAAAAAACAAGTGTCCTCAGCCTTGGGAATATTTGGAAATACTAAATATCCATGTATCGTCCATCTACTCGCTATGTAAATTAACAGCAGAGAAGGACAGTGGGGTGGGGGATGGACGGGCATCCTGGCAAACAACTGAATGGGTTGATGTATGGTTGGAAGGGCACCGGGAGAGATGGTCAGGGAGACTGAGAGAGACCTGCGAATGAATGTTCATAAATAGACAGACTGTCAAAAGAGAACAGGCAGACAGAAGGACAGATAAACAGGCGTACAGACAGTGCAAAGGCCAACAAACAGAGACAGACAGTGCTAAAGACAGACAGATGGGCAAACACAGCAAGGTGATAGACGCTCACTCAGGCAGGATGGGAGTGCTATTCATCTGCTCTCTGAGTCATCACGTAGTGTGTGCTCTGTCTGTTGGAGTGTGTTCAAAACATATACACTCTGTATACCCTAACTGAGTTATTCCAGTCTCTCCCCGCTTTAGTTTTCTCCATCTGTCTGTCTCTGCTTGGTCTTTCTGTCTCTTTACTTCCCCCATATAATCCAATTCACATCTCTCATTTTCATGCCTTATTTACCTTATATTCCTGAATCCTTCCCTACTTACCTCTGTATTTTCACTAATCCCTCTGTCCCCGTCTATCTCCCCTATCTTTCAACACCTCCTCTAATCCTTCTCCTTCTTGCTCTGTCCACACAGGTCTGCTCTCTGTGTCCTATGACGAGTGGGACTATGGCCTAGAGGCCCGTGTTCGCGACGGCGTGGCGATCATCACTATGGCAACCTCCACCATGATGATGGACCGTGGACCTCACACCCTCCTAAAGTCAGAGTGCCACGGAGCTCCTGACAAGAAGACTCCCATCTCAGGCAACCCTAATGAAGTGCTCAGGTGAGTGAAGACGGAGGCTGGATTGTGTGTTTACTGTTAAACTGAGAGCAGTTTGGACATATGATGGATAATTAGTAAACATTGTACCACATTAGTATATCTACATAAGTTTAATTTATGTGTATTTTTCTGTGAGGTGATTAACAACATGTCCAAGCTGGATTATTTACACATTGCCGTTGCTTTTTTATTTAGTTAAAGGAATAGTATAGACATTTTGGGAAACAAACTTCAATTAATAGCCGAGTCCCAAAAAGCCGCCTACCTCCTTTACTGGCCTGGTGTGGGAACACATTTTGACAAATAAACGCAGGTCTCCATTAAACGCCTGGTCTGGTTTTTATGTAAGTTCTTTGGATGTATAAAACCTCGCCGTTATCAGATCGTTAATGCAAATTTTAATGTTTAAACATATGATCAGTATGTCAGTATGGACATGCTACACATCATTAGATCGAATAGATTCTCCACAATTCAAATGTTCAGTTCATTTAACGGAAACAACAAGCCCCAAGAGATGAAAAGAGAAAGAAAAGTGCCGACTCCCGTTACCTTTGAAGCGCTAGTTAAGTCCGAATGTATGGAGCCTCTCTAGGCCCACTTAGTCAAAAAATAAATTCTAATTACCTGAGGCCTCGAGTTACTATTTTGAGGTAATTAGAATTTATTTTTATGACTAAGTGGGCCTATGGGGGCTCTGTACGAATGTGTCCGTTCCTTGATAATTTATATTCCTTTAGTCTGTAAAGTTCCACCGATCAAAAGAATCAAAATAGCTTTTCATAAAAATAATACAACTTGTGAATCCTGTCATGTGAAGTCCATTGCTCTCTGTCTGCTAACTTCTGCCACACTTCTCACATCCTGCACCGTGTTGTTGTTTTCCTTAAATTGCTGCCTTCAAAATAAACGCGCATAAGCTGTCTGTCGGAGCTAGATCAAATGAATGACATGGTTTTGATATTATTGGATAATTTTTATACAAATAATACTCTGTTTGAAAAACTAAATTGTTTAATAGTAGCCTATTTCAGTTTTGTGCAAGAGGAATTAAAGGCCTGTCCATATGGACGCATGTCCCAAAAAAAGGCAAGGTCAATTCAGTGATTTTAGCAAAAAAAGCCCGGGCTATTAATCAAAGTTTTACGGTATTTGCTTTCTGGGGGAGAGTTAGATGAGAAGTTTGATACCTCTCACATATCTGTTACCTTAGCTTAGCACAAAGACTAGAAACAGGTTAAAACAGCTAGCCTGGCTCTTTCTGAAACTAACAAAATCTGTCTTCCAGCACCTCTGAAGTTCAGTAATTAACATATTAAATCTTGTTATTTTAATCGTTCCAATAACCAAACTGTATAGAACAACAACTCACCATTTTATAGGTTGTCATGTGCCAGACTATTACTTTGGTGCTAGGAAAGGCCAAAATGTCAAACTGTTGTTATACGGTATGCACCTTAATCATTAGGTCAACAATTACTGGTAAATGTGACATATTTACCAGTAATTGTTGACCACCTAAACACAAAAACCTGGTAAATACACCATGATCACATTTCCATGTGTTTGAGCATTTGAGGGCTTCCCAAATGCGCCAGTTGAGAAATAACTGCTTAGAAGTCTGTTAATGGGACTTTCAATAAGTTATAACATCTTCAGTCTTGAAATGCATACCTTAAAGCAGAAGATTCCAAAATTGGGACAAAGCTTATTGTGACGTCTTGGTATATTTGTAGAGATGTCTTAGATATTTAGGAGTGGTACTGTGTTGATTATGTTCTTTCAAAGTAAGACTGCATTTCAACATTCACCTTCCTGTTGAATGCTAACACATTTCCATACTTTTAAATCATTAAAGTATCTGTTATAATGAGAAAGTCTGAATGCACTGGAGTATTAAAGTTATTTTTCCTCTTTTGTGGGCAGTAAAAGAAGCTCATCTTTTGCCTTAAAGCTATCCTTCACATATCCCATGAAAACCAGCTCTGTGGTGTGTATGTATGTATAATAAAGTATAGAGGCCGTGCGTCTCAGCAGTGGTCTCAAATGTGTACAGTCATTTATTTACAATTAAACTCACGTCTACAAATTAATGTGACATTGATTTATGGATGCTAAAATACTACGCACAGCAGCTTTAAAAAGTGCACAGGTTCAGGTGGTGCAACATCAACACGAGCCTCCTGGCATAGATCAGCACAGCCAAGGATGCAGCAGACCCTGGCACACAAACACACACACGTGCACCTTCATTCCCTGCATACTGTGATCATCCTCCCCCATGTAATAATACCCTACACACACACCCCCTTCACATGCCCCTTCCTCAGGAAAATTCAATCCCACCCCCTCAGCTGTCTGTCTCAGCACCAGGCCTTTTGAACTGGTCATGAAAAGCAGCGTTCGGCAGCACTTTGCTCTGCGCACTGCCTAATTGGTCCCAATGGCGTTTCAGTCGACAAACACTAGCCCCTTGTCGTACTGTGCTCCAGAGCTCAGCACAGTATTATATTCCGGGGTAGTTTCACCCCTCTGCCACTCGAGTCTGCTGCAGCTGTAAGTTTGTGGGTATGTGTGTTTTTGGTGCGCTAGAGATAGACAGACTGTCAGTGAAGGCCAAATGTATATGTGTGTGTGTGTGTGCGCGCGTGTGTTTGTGTGTATAGGTATTTTAAAGTATGTATGTGTTTGTGTGTGCCATGGCGATTATCATTCATCCATTTAGCGACAGTAGTCTGGTTGCTGTTGTAGAAAATGGTTTCAGGAGTGTTGAAAAGCAACTGTATGGTGACTGGCGTCATACGCTCACAAACTGAAAAATGTATTGAACCTTCTCGCACTTGTATTCAGACATACATAAAGAGATAAGCTGTCTCGTCCCACTTTCTGAGTCTCTGGTTTGTCCCACAATTTCCCCGCTGATTACAATCACACATTTATCCAGGAATACTAGATTTCACAAAGACACACTCATACAGAGAGCCTACTGTAGAAACACGTGCTCACCTTTTTGGATTGCACTATGAATGGTGGATGTGGACAATTTTTTCTGCTCATGCTTAACTGCATCCTGCATAAAGGCGGCAAAACTTTGTTGTCCGTTCCAGCAAACTCTTTAGATGTCATTTCAACCCCTGTATGCTTGTTCACGCCTTTCTGAAGCTTTGCATTTGTTTTACCACTGCTTACTGCTTTGAGATAACTGTGGCGTTTATGGCAGCTGCTGTTGTCCCTGAATACAATTCCCCTGTTCTGTTAATGTGTGCCTCACTGTGGTCTACTGTGCACTGCTCTCCTCAACTCTATTGTGTCCTGTGCTGCTCTCTACTCTGCTCAGCTCCCTCTGAACTCCGTCATGTTCTTCTCTGTCCTCTCTTGCCCTGTAGTCCTCTCCTTTGTTCGGCGCCTGGTCTGCTTTTATACATCTGCTCTCCGTTCTCCTCTGCTTTGTTCCACTTTATTCTCTTCTGGCGAGCGCTGCTCTGCTATGTTTTATCTGCTCACACTTTCCTCTCTTCCCCTCTGTTTTCTCCTCTCCTCTCCTAGTTTTCCTCACCTCTCCCCCAATCCTCCCCAGCCATCGTCTATTCTCCAGACCTGCAGTTTTATAATCAACTTAGCTGTGTTGTTGATTAGATCAGTTGCAAGCGCTGCTAAGATCCTTCGCCCCTCGCTGCCTTAACTAAATTTGTTTGGTGATAACCTTTGTCTTTAAGTGTTCAATCAAGAGATTAGCATTTGGCCTACAGTCTATATACTAGAAACTGAATGAATGGCTGCTTGCCTGGCTTGCAGGCTGTTTGGTTGGCTGGATGGGTGCCCTGCTGCCTGTTGGTTCACTACTAAGTGAATCAATGGATGAATAAATGAAAGATGGGTGGAGAGGGAAGGAAATCAACTCAATCAAAAGGTTCTTTTGTGGGGCAGGAAAACCTTATATTCAGCGACACTCCAGTGAATCATAATTTGTAAATTTTCAGACAGTTCTTTGTAGCAAATTGTTAATAAATCCAATAAAGTCACAATAAATTCTTAGTAATGGAGAATGGCATATCATTGCTGTGCTAAGCAATCCTCAATCTCAAAATCAATGGAGCCTGGCAACTGGAAGTCAGACTAATCTTAAACTATTAACTACTACTATTAACTACACTATTAACTGTAGATAAACTGCCTGGACTATTTCTCGCTTCCGACTGAATCCGAGACAGATCCTTGTTAGGTACTTTAGAGAGATTTATTTCCAGGCCATCCGCCATATTTAAAAACTTGAAGTTGAAAATTCAGATAAAAAATCTGAAGCAGCGCAGCAAGTGTTTAATGAAGGAAGACGGCACTTAGCAGCCGATCATGTCACGCCCTGGTGAAATGCTGCATATTATGAGCACATACACGCCAAACCACACTGAACAAAGCAAAATTTGTGGGACAGTTTTGGAACTCAGTGTATCTGATATTTAATTCTGGTAGGGATTATGAGAGATTATCACACATCACTTGTTTTCACACACAACGCATGTTTTTCAAGCTTGTTAATTACGAACAGCTTAGGTCAGCACTTAGGTCAGCACGGAAATATGGAAATCATATCTAGTTCACATTTCAGTCTACTGCTGGGTGATGAAGAATTGCTGTATGGTCATGGTCATCTACTTGACTTTACAAGCCATACATTATGCCGATCCCTCTCTGCTTAGCATTTCCTTGTCCAGCCCTTAGAGCTTCATAGAATACCACAAGAGAAGGACACGTCACTCCACTAAGCAAATTAAGTCCACTGTAGCCAGCACTGTGACATTCCAGCTAATGCTACAGTTTGAGCCTGACAAATGAAGATAGCAGAAAGGGGAAGAAGAGAGCAAAGCACAGAGAGCAAAAGACACAGTGAGGGAGAGATAGGAAGAGAGACTACTGCTGAGCAATACACAACAGTGTGAGAATCATGAGTTTGACAACAGTGGCCCTGACCTTGCCAGGCGTGGACAGGTTCCAAATGAGCTTGGAGTTGGAAAGGTGTCAAGTGCTTTTAAGCTCTGTGGACATTTTTGAACTTCTGTGGCCTCAGTGAGGCTTTCAATAGAGTTTATGTGTGTTTGCATGTGTGCACGCGTCTGTGTGTGTGCAGTACACTCTGAAGCAGTATTTTGACCCTATTGAGCTGAGGGATGAGTGTGTGCTCGATGGACAGTGTGCCCACCTGTGTGTGTGTGTGTGTGTGTGCTCTTCTAGCTATTTTAGACTGAGTCTATAAACACTAGTTGAGTGTGTGTTTATGGGGCAGGCCAGAGGGAGGCGTTAAAAAGGTACCTGTTTGTGATGGGGCTTGATTGGAACTAGGTCAGGATTCTCCTGATCTCTCTCTCTCTCTCCTCTTTCGTCCCTCTCCCTTCAATTTATGTCTTTTTTTCTCCTCCTAAATCATCTGTCTCCAAATCTCCTTTTTCTCTACCAGGTTTATTCAGTTCCCTACTTTTCTGTAGTTTTATTTTATCTCACATAATCATTGCTCACATCAATCTCCTGCTATTTTTATCATATTATTTTCTCTCTTTTTCTGCCCTTTACTGCTTCCTTGTTCCCCTTAATTCCCATTATTATATTTTTTGGTTCTTTTGGTTTGTCTTTTAAGGCTTTTGAAGTTTTTTTCAAAAATGCGAAGAATAATATTAGCTCAAGGATTTTTATCAATTATCTCTGAAATGATAATCCACTCTGTTCAAGGTCTACCATTTAAATTACGATGTATTATTATGATTAGTTTTAATTAAGTGCTGTCTAATATTTGTCAAAAATAAATCAAATCAAAGCCACGTATCTAGTGCCATTTGCTAGTTTGATGTTCCCACTCCTCACCTCCTTTTTGTTTCACTGTTCCTGTCTTGTCATCTCTCCACACTCTTCCCATTAGCACAATTTAATACACTGTTTACACATTCAGTTCCCGTGTCCAAACACACACAGATGCCACTAGATTCATACTTGTGTAGACACATGCAAACAAGAAAGGCACACCTCCCTCTACATTCACACGTTATACATGCATGTAATAAAACTACAGAATTTCTGTCTGCCACAGTGCCATACGGGACGTGGTATTATTATCCATATAGATTCCTCTACAAATCCTGTAAGTACATCGCACCACAGTAATTGCCAAGGAGTGTAATTCATGACTAATTCATGTCAGGGTTAATTTATTAAAACTGCCTTATCAATATTTCACACCACTCCTCCATTATTCACATCAGAACATGGGCTAAAATGTATCTGTGTCAGGCCATGGAGTTAGCATGGCAAGTGTGTGTGTGTGTGTGTGTGTGTGTCTGGCATGCTGTGTTGTTCTGATTAAGGCAATGGCGAGAATTCTCCTCAAATAAATAAAAACAGGAAAGAAGAGACTCACTGAAATGTCTGCGAAATGTGCAGCAGTTAACGAAGGGCATATTGTTACTTATAGGTTTGATTGGCGAAATGCCTGTTGGAATCTGGTCAGTGTCACTCGCTTCGCTAGGTGGAGACAGCTGCTGCTGCCGTTTGAATCTTAATTCACCTGCTGTACAGTACAGCTCAGATATTCTCCTCTAGCTTGAGCCGTAAACTGACTAGTTCAACAGGATATAAAAACAAGGGGTTTAGTGGGTGGGTGGATGTGTGTCTTTTTATGGTATTCATGTGCATGTGTGCATTCTTAGCATGCTCGATACTTAATGCCATCTTATGACACACACAGCTTTATAAAATAGAGGGAGGTGGTAAGAGCATAGGTTTGTGTTAACATGTTTAATTGTGTCTCTGGCATGGCAAGGAAGGCATTGAAGGTCTGTCATCCAGCTTTGAGCAAGGCACTTAACACCCAGCTGCCCCAGTGGACCTGCTCAGTGGCCCATAAGAGGTCTGACTGGGCAGCTGCCAGATGTGGATATACTGTATATACCCCTGTGAATGTGAAAAAGAGCATGAATACTGAGTAAACCCTCGCCCTTTAAGTGTGTGTGTGGGCACATGTGTTAAATGCCAGTGAGACAGGAAGCTCAGAGAAGGTGATAGAAAGGGGAAATGGTCACATGGATGGAACACAAAAAGTCAAAGTGGCTTCCTGTATGCTCAGTAGTCACAGTGTGATGGGAGAAGAGTGTTTCAGTCTAATATGTCCCATCCCACCACTCTTTCTCTCTCCTTCTCTCTCTCTCTTTCCCTCCCACCCTCTGCGAGATTAGCGTTACCATAGTAACACAGCAGATTGGCTTGGAAATCACAGTGGTTGTGGGTGCCATGGCAACACACATATGCTTGTGCTTTGCTCTGTTACTGCTGTCAACGTTTGTTGGATGCACACACACATACACACACACACTCACGTGCAGACACACACAAAGGCCCCACATTGTTGCATGTAACAATAGCTTGCTCAGTAAAGATTAAAGGGGGCACAGCGTCAAGTCATTTTGTAAATGGCTTATGATTTATGCAGCAGATTCTGTGCACTTTGTATCAGTGCCAAGGCTCTGCAGGACGGGGTGGTTAGCTGGACACATGGGGCTGCATGAGAGGGTATGATGCTGGATGATTCTGCTCACCACAGCCCATTGGAAATATCAATATTTAATATAGGAAATAGAATATGCTAGCTGGCATTAGAGTAATGACATTATTACACTGCCTACACTCTATTCTTTACATAGGACCTGCACAGATAGATGAGGGAGATTGAGGAAAGTGATGGTTCAAGACAAACTGATTCATGTGTTCTGATACATGACCCAGGACGTTGTTTACAGAACCCATCAGCACACTGGCACCAAGCCAATCTTTTACACGCACACACACACACCTTTGTTATTTATATTTTCATCTACATATATATATATATATATATGGTGCACGGTTTTGAGGCAGTGTTTCCATGGAAACAGTCACAGAGAGAGAGGGAGAGAGAGAGAGAGAGAAGAGAGTAAAGGATGAGGGTGTGAAAGAGTGTGTGTGTGTGTGGGATGACAGTGAAGTGATTGGTGTTCACCTGACATAAACATTCCTGTTCTCATATACACACACTTACACACTCCTACGCACATTCACCATAATCACTGCAAGAGAACACAGTGTTGAGTGTCTGTGTGCACGCAGGCATGTATGTGTATGTGTGTGTGTGTGTGTGTGTGTGTGTGTGTGTGAGAGAATGTGTGTGTTTGTTGTGTTTAGTTGAAGGGAGGTGAAATGATTTCACCTGACAGAAACAATGCTGCTTTCTCTCGGTTTCTCTTTCTCCGCCACACAAGTGCACCGACTGAAGTAGACACACAGAGCCAGACACAAACACACATACGCACACACCAACGCAAAGTGATCTGCCAAGCTGCTATTGGTGTGTTATATAGTGCTTTTTGTTACATTTAATGCCAGACACAAACTGCATTTTCAAGCTGACTTGTTTATATAAACTTGAAAGCTGTCTATGGAGTGATTTGAGCTCCTAGAAATGATGATGACGTATGAGTGTAGTGTACTACTGTAATGTACTACTAATAACGTTTGTACACATTGATAATTAGTGAGCTTTAGAGGTGCTGGTGGGTGGCAACTGTTTCCAACTTTTTTCCAGTCTTTGTGCTTAGCTAAGCTAATTTGCTGCTGGATGTAGCTTCATATATAGTGAACAGATACAAAATGAGAGTAGAAAGAATTTTCTCATCTAACTCTCCACCAAAAAGTAAACAAGCGTATTTCCCAAAATGTCAAACTATTAATTTGAGGCCACATCAATACAAGTGGCAATATTGAACATGGGATGATTTGAGATAGTTTGCTTAAATTAAATTTCCTCAGTACTATGTTAAAATCACTGCTGTTTGTTGCTGTCTGCAACTGATGATTAATGTAATTCCATCTATTTATGAAAGACCTGCATAAACATGGGATGATAGCTATTTCCCAGCAGATGATGAATTTGTTTAATGTCACTGGGTTTGTCTGAAAAGATAAATGCTTAGAGAATAAACTGACATATGGTGAAACTTTAATGTTTGGGAAATTGAGTCATCAAACAAGAAATAATAAAGACATATAAAGCAAATCAAACATTTGAGAGCTGCCACTGGCAAAGATATTTTAAGGAAGTGTAATATGCCTCAACAAGTCTCTTTCTCTCTCAATGTTTCTATCTACAGGTACCTGATGAATGTGACGTTTGAGGGGCGTAATCTGTCGTTCAGCGAGGACGGATACCAGATGCACCCCAAGCTGGTCATCATTCTGCTCAACAAGGACAGACAGTGGGACCGGGTGAGAGAGAGATGGTAGAGAAAGGGGGAGAGTGCCTGTGTGTTTATGTTTGTGTGTGTGGTTGTGTGTGCATCTATATTCATGTTGCTGGTTAAAACGCATTAAAACAGCCAAAAAACAGCCATGCCTATCATGTGTACACTCTTGAAGTAAATGAAAGACAGGGTGGTAGCAATGCCAGTGAGATAGCTGTATCCTGTAAGTACAGTACCTGATTGGTCCATGAGTATCTGTCCCTCTATCTGCATATCTCATCACCTGATTTTCACTTTTTAAGCATTTTGAGCCGTGAGCTTTATCGGCGCTACTCTGATTAGATAATATCAACTCGGCGAAGGTGCCTTTGAGCAACACACTGCAGCAAAAGCTCAAGGGTGCTGATATAGTAGGTATGCTCATCTGCTTCTGTTAAGTAAGCTGTTACATACTACCCATGATTTGTCTAGTGTTTTTACAAAATCAAATTGCCTGTGATGCACTCAGAACATGGAAAGGTGTTTCTCATGGTCCCAAAGAGTTCCTGTCAGAACTAATATGGAGCAAAAAATAAAATATCATCAGTGTCTATATATTGCTGGGTGCATTTGTGTGTTCATATTAATGTAACTGAAGCAAAAAGGTAGCTCCAAGGATCATATTGTACATAGTTAGTGTTACAGCAAGACAGTTTTCAGACAGGATAAATAAAATACGCATGTTTTTCTGCACATTGCCGTACAGTACTGCATATCATTTGGTTGCGCAGTAGGCTTCCACTAAAATGATCTTTGCAATAGTCAGACCTGCGTCTTCTCAGGCATTGTGATAAAGACAGAACTTATGGTTAGATTTGCTTAAATTGCTACCAAATGACTTTTAGAATACCACATATATGCCATTGTGTTGAGAAGGGTAGATGGGGTTATTATAGAATCTGTAGTCCAGTGAGACTGTGGCGAGGTATTGTTGTAGGACCCCAGGTCTATGAACTGTAAAAACAAGAGAATCATTCACACCTTCATGCACAGTGACAAATCTTACCTATTTTATATCCGTGCTTGTGCACATGCTGGCTCAATAGATAAACATAAATACCCCCCAGAATGCCAAATATGGTCCACCACATGCCTTTGAAAGTCCCAGTGCCCTTAATGTAAACATCCTTGTTGTGGACCGAGAAAGATAAAGACGAAAAACTGACGAAGAATGTGAGGCACTGTAGTGTCCCGGGAGTAGGTGTGTGGCAGCATGCACCGGGGCAAAAGACTGAGGGACCTAAATCTCATTCTGTGTGCGTGAAGGTCAAATAAAGAATTGCAATACACAGATAGACATTAGGATTATTTTACCCAGAACTGATATTAAAAGGGAAAATGGACAATTAAAAGAAAATCACAAATTATTATTATTTTAGTACTTAGAATAATATTATGATATTGTGATAATTTTCTCCATACCAAAACGTAACAGTTCATTATTGATGCAGATTGATTACAATGAAATATCATAAATGGATACTCTGGATCTCCTATATCGAGCAACAGGTGCATGCATGGCTAAAGAAACAAAACAAGGCAGTTTAGGCAGTCATTCTGACAGAGATGATTACCTTTTTTCAAATTAAACAAAAATATACATCCTCTGGAGCGATAGTTTACAACCTATCTAATGTGCTTACATTGGCGACAGTAAGGTCCGTTTGTGCGTCGATAATTCAGAAATCAGTTTATCCTTGCGATTACACCTGTGTACCACAAGGGGTTTGTTGGTGTGATTCTACATAAATGTACTAAATTTTCTCTAGCCTAATAGGATATTTCTAAATCAGTGTATTTGCATACAAATAAGGATATGCATGGTTGAAACACAAAAGTGTGCCCCCAACCTCTAAACTGTGTGAAGTTCAGCTATAAAAGACTGTACCGGGCGTCTTCTCCTATGTAAATATGTGACTTGAGTCAAAATTTACATGCACTCAGTCAGCTCTCTAAGTAGTGGTGGAAGAGAAGGTTGGGCAACAACAATCCTGAGTCATACTCTGAATCAACAACCTTAAATGAACTTAGATGCTCCTCGCCACCAGCATGCACCTGTGCTTCCTGATGCTCACCCTCCATTGTATCTGTGTCGTGCAGTCTGACTCTTTTGACTCTCCCTATTCTCTTTTCTCAATGTTTCTCTCTTTCTTCTGCCTCTCTAATCTATATTCTGTCCTCTGATCAGAGAACAAGGTGAATCGCTCCCCTCCTGTCTCCCCTCTCTCTCTTTCTCCCCTTGGAGCCTGCACCACCCCGTCTCTTTCCTCCCCCTCCTCCTCCTACTCCCTTACTCATGTTTAATTCTTAGCTTGACTTCCAGCTGAACCACTTTTCTTGGATCCTAATGAGTTCCAGCTCCTACAACAATCCTTCCACTGGACCTTTGAAGTAATGCGAAGACTCTGTCGTGCCCGGTCCAGTTTACTCCCCTCTAGGTGGATTTTTACCCTTTTCTCTTCACCTCCCTCCCCTTTTTTCTTTTTCCTTCCAAACCTGTCTATCTCGATCACTTACTCCCGCTCACTCGTTTTTTGTCCCGATAGAAGAAGGCTGCATTGTGCCCCGGGGATACACAGCATTAGCTTGTCCTCTCCAGGCAGTCCCGGCAAGTGTGTGTTCCCTAGAGTGCGATAAGTGTGTGTGTGTATGTGTGTGTGTACATTTACATATTTAACGAGTTTGCAAACCTGACTTTACACACTTGCACCTCTCTGTCCTGCCCTCTCTCCCATTATAGTGTGTTCAATTAGCTGATGATCCATACCCACTTCCACCCACATCTTTCCCTCAATTAAAGTGGCCTATACCGAGCACTTCTTGAGTAAAGGGCATAGGCAGAGTCTCCATGTATGGTTTCATGTGGCTAGAATCTGGGGGAAATTAACTAATTGATGATGCTTATTCAGTGGAGTAGAGCCACAAGGGCTGGAGGGCCCTCCAGACTTACAGCTGGACACTCCTCTACAGAAGAGCTAGCACTTTGCATCTAAATGAGCTCCATCTCCGGCTTTCTTTCTTTACCACACAGATACTTACTTGACTATTTTGCATCCATCAATAGTTTATTCTCTCCCATTCTGTCTGCAAATTTAACTGTTTTTCTTAATTTAATCTCTCCATCCACTTCTCTGTCTCGCTGTTTCTCTCCCCACTCTCTCCTCTTGATCTGAATTCTGCTCTCTCCCCCGTTTCAGTCTCGTCCTTCACGATAACCTTGTTCTCATTCTCTACTCTGGGTCCCAGTCCTCCCCTCCCCTCCTCTGCTCTCCTCTCCTCTTTTGTAGTTTGTATTGTCTACATGTCCTTTCACTAACTTTCTCAGTTGCCGTATTTCACTAATATTTTTAATTATCCGTCATACGTTTCCCCTGTTCATTTGTTACCTAATTGTTGTTTTATTGGCAGATGGACTAATAACAGCTAAACCCAGAAAACAGAAAATGAGGCAATAAAACGCCAAATCAGAGTGAGATGTTTTTGCATAACAAGCATTCAACCTCTACATTGCTTTTTGGTGATGTGTTTCAACTGTGACTAGCTGTTTGCAAGAGCAGAGCTGCAGGTATTTTTGATGGACTGGACTCATTGCAGTGTGGAATTTAATCTGAATTAATTTTTGAATTTGATTCCTGCCCCGTGATTCATTTCATGTATGTATTTTACTATTACACTTAATAGCGTTGAGTTGAAGAGCTACTCCATCAGACTGAATTAAAATCTAAGACTATGAACCTCTATGGTTGCAGTTAACTCACTTGTAAAAAAACAAAAACAAATCAAATATCCAAATCTAAATCTGAGCATGACATTTTTAAGGCAATCTCAATGTCTTTTGTTTGCCATATGTCTCTGCAGGTGGGTAAATGGGAGAATGGTTCCCTGTCCATGAAGTACCATGTGTGGCCTCGCTATGAACTATATGGCGGGCCAGCAAACATTGAGGATGACCACCTGTCCATCGTGACATTGGAGGAGGCTCCGTTCGTCATTGTGGAAGATGTGGACCCACTTAGCGGGACGTGTATGAGGAACACTGTACCTTGCCGGAAACAGATCAAAACACTGTGAGACTCAAAGCTCAGATATACCAAATCCGAGCCTTAGAAGCAAGAATAAGAATGCATGTCAGGAAGAAAAACACATTTCAGTTATGTAAATTATTATAATAAATATGTAACTCATAGACTGTTTTATCTTTCCATCTGCCACATTAGCTCACAGAGCTACCTACTGCAGAACTGACCAAAGTAGAAATTAAATGTAAAAACCTGGCAACTGCCTAAAATTTGCTTGTGAATTATGTTAATTTCCCACGACAGCTGTACAGAGCCAGAGGTAGAATCAGTTCACACTTCGTCTATGAGAGTGACAGTGCCAGATACACCAAATCATGTTTAAAATAAACAATTCATGCCACTTCAGACAGAAGTACACATTTGCTTAGATACCCCTCTGTTTATCTATCTACGTAGTAATCAGACGAAGGAGTCGGGGATCTACATAAAGCGTTGCTGTAAGGGTTTCTGCATTGACATCCTGAAGAAGATTGCCAAGACGGTAAAGTTTACCTATGACCTTTACCTGGTCACTAATGGCAAACATGGCAAGAAGATCAACGGAACATGGAATGGCATGGTGGGAGAGGTGAGCAGATAAGTTGTGTCTATGTGTTTGTCTTTCTGTGGCTACGTTTGTCTTTATTTTTATCAGCCCAGACAGTAATGGTGTGTAATATATTTGTCAGACCAAATCTGAAAGCTGTCTACTAAATGTTCAGTCAGTGGAAAGCAGGTCTACAAATAAAGCCTCTTTGTGCATGCCATGTGTTAATTATGTGACAGTCTCATTTGTAGTTTGTTGGCAAAACTTGCATGAAGTTTTGCCAATGAAGATTGCACCTAATCCACACTTTGCAATAGCATCTTACCATTATTGATGTTACTGCTGTTTAAAAGATGGTGTTAAGACATTTGGGTTATCAGTACAATGCAGAAATACATTTGCATATTTGGCAACAAGTCAGACAAGGAAAGGAGAATGACTTCTTTCTATCTGTGGTCGCAGCAGAAAACACTCCAATTACAAAACAGGCTTTGGTGCACAGAGGAGTCAGCCTTGGTGCAGAAGTTGAAATTGACATCGAAATGTATTTTACTCTGTAAATAATTACAACAGCTTGGGAAAATAAAAACAAAAAATTAAAATGATCACCAACAAAACAGTAGAAAGACCTTTTTCCTGCAGACAGAAAAGGTGCAGGCTAAAGCTGCAGCTTATTGCACCTGCCCATTTTGCAAAAGACCTTTTGCAAAATGATCCTTACACAGGTCCACGTCACATGGGAGTGATGAGAAGGAGATCTGCAAAAGTAACATCAGACAACTACACTAATGCCAACATGATGATACACAATGCCAACATGCCTCTGATCAGACATTTTTAAATTTGTCCTTCAAACGATTTTAAAACAATGTGTGCCACACATTTTCAGTTCCTCACTACAGCTGTTCCATAAATGCACCCCTTTAACAGAAATAAAATGTTTATCTACATTAGACCTGACCCATTTGATTCTTAAATATGCAGAGTCCTCTCAAATCATTGAGTTTTTCTCATTTGAAACAACTTTTGGATGCTTTCAGGTAGTCATTTATGTTTGACCTTGTGCAGTTCCAAAAGTTCCTGAATTTTAGAGCCTTTAATTTAATGAGCAGTTGGTTTTTGAAAAGTAGTTTTATTTACAATTCTTATAGCTCTCTTTTGACGTATACAAATTGGATTTGTTTTTGTTTTTGAATGTGTTTCCCCATATGTCCTCACAGTAAGTAATGTATATTAGTATACATGAACAATACAAAGTGTTTAATTTTATACAGTAGCCTATTGATTAATAGACACCATTTATACATGGTTGCCAAAATATTTTATGAACTATTCCCTCTCAGAAATATGAAGTCAGGCGCCCTTTGTACTTAATTGTCACTTATCATACCAATTCCACAGTATCCAAAAGTTTCTAATTCTAACTACTACAAAATAAATTTGTATCAGCTGCAAATAAAACACATTTTAACTCTTGCAATCTCTTTCATCAATTAGATGTGCTAGAACACTGCAAATAAGACAAAGCTTGTGTGCTCATTGCCACAAAATAAAGCCATGACCATGCAGCCACTGTGAGTCTGGTTTTTGGTAACGTTTGATTGAACCTGCCAAGAGTTTATTACATCTAGATGCTTGGAATTACTGCCTAGGTGAAGAAAAGGTCAAAGGGGAGACAGAGTTACAGTCTGTGTTCACCCCTGGGCTCAATGTACTGTGCTATATTTAGCTGCTTGAAGGGTATGTTTCCTCTTTGCAGTGTGTTTTCGTACCTTGAATTATGAGCTTCCCTTTCCGGGTCAACCCTCTGCCCAACAGGCCTAACACTTGTGTCAGATGGGCTAAGCACCTACCCCAGGAGTGTGTATAGTTCAGTAAGCTGTTCACTCTGGGCTCTAAATATTCGCTGTACTCTTGATGTTCTGTCTTTCTGGCTATTTGTTAATGAAGGAAAAGGCAAACAGATCGATAGTAGCCCAAAGGTCACAAGTTGAAAACACGCTCCGTCCCTCTTTGGACACTGAAGTTTGAACAACCTTCAGAAGTCACAGGCAAGATTATGTGTCCATTTTGTCCCGCAGCCCTGCTCAATTTACATTAAACTGACCCATTTAATCTATTATATAAAGCCATTTAAGTCATCCTGCCAGTCAGGTGGTGTCTTTAGTGGGCACTGAGCTGTAAATGTGGTCACCTGTAATAAACTCTATCTCTCTGACTGAAAGCGCCGTAATGTGCCGTCTCCTTCTCACCCCCACAGATGGTCATTAGTGGGTGGGGGTGGGGGTATTCATCTCAGCACACAGACACACATGCAGACAAGCGGCACTTGTGCATGAATGATCACAGAAATAACAGAATACATCGCAAAGAAGGAATACATGAAAAAAGAGAGAATACATGCATGAGTGCGTACACCTGGACACAGACAGGCATACACACACAGATCGTTTCCATATGCGCACAGAGAGGACACACTGGTAATGTCTCTCTCTCTCGCTCTCTCTCACACACACCCACACACTCCATCATAGTTCTGCCATATCTGCTAACAAAACCAACCCATGTCCTTCTCCAGTTGGAGTGCAGCCAGTATATCTCACTCCTTAATGGACAGAAATCTGTACTGATGCTGACACACACACACACACACACACACACACACTGTGACGTGCCTCAGCACGCTTCTGAACACTCACCAAGTTCACTGAGGGTCTTTACACAATTTGCCGTAGCTTTTGAATGACAAAAGATCACATAGGAAATAAAAAAATCTATGAACGCGTTCAGAAGGCCTACATTTTGTCCTAACTCAATTCTGGCAGTCAGTGTCAATTTCATGGGCTGCATTGACTTGTGCTGCCCCTAATCTAAAATATTAATGGCAATACACTTGATTACATGAGTTTGGCCTTGCTAGAAAAGTCACATAACAGACACTGACACACACACACACACGCCAGCTGAGGACATACACAAACGCAGATCCTCGCTCACTCATTCTCAATAACACCCACATGGGTCACTTTCATAACGCTTAGAGAACAAGTCGTAGGAGGGAGATGGAGAGAGCGAATGGAGAGAGAGGAAGTGAGTACACTGCTGGATGGACTCGCTCTCTTCCTCCGGGGAGACATTCGCACATATAGGCACTAACACACACAAGTGAACATGCACATCCGCACTTACATGCTGACAGAACAAACAAGATTGAAAAGTTACAAATGCACACACACGTACACTCACTAGCAGACACACACACTTTGGAAACTGCAGATAATGTGCAGAGTGGACGTGTAATATTCTCCCTGCCTGTAAAGGTCCACTTCACAGTTAGAGAACAAAGGTTCGCTCCCGTCTCTTTCTCTCTGCCTTTTTCCCTTTATGACTCACTCATATGTGCACACACACATACACACACACACACACACACACACATGCACACTCTAACACTGAAGCATATACTGGAGCTTTGACTCGCACAGTCACACACACCTTATTAACTCAGTAAGACAGTCTCGTCCCAGTTTACCCTTGTGCTGTAGGGTTTTAAAATGTGGGGCTAAATATACAACCTGTGCAGAGGTACTGACTGGAGGGAGGCAGGTAGGGGAAGGAGAGGCATTGGGGTGGCTATTTCCAGCAGCCATGACCCACTGTGGTAACCCACTTTCTTCCTCCCTCTTTCTATCTTTCTCCCTGTTTCCCTCCCCTGGTGCGCATCACGAGTGTCCACTCAGAGCACTGTGTGTGGAATGTGTGTTGGTCTCCTGTCTCTTCCAGCCGTGCTCTATTTTTGTCTCCAATGTCTCCATTCTCATATGTTTCTTTGCCTCACTTTGTTCATTTTACTTTTTTAATGTATCCACTTTCCCTCAACCTGTCCCACCTGCTGTTATGTCAGATTTGATTTCCTACATTTCCTATAATAGCTTTTGACAGTGTGCCCGACTCTGCTGCATGCTTTATACATGTTAATGGAGAAAGCAAGGCAGCTACAAGTTAGTCTCTCCGTGTGATTGCTGAACATCAGTGTGGATGTTCAGCATCTAGACAGAAGTTTAGTGCTCTTGGATTATAAGGGCTGACACTAAAACCTAGTATTTACTTTTGATATATAGAATTGCTGAGGCTCAGTCACACAACAGCAGAACAAACAATAAAATGGATAAAGAAATGCAAGGGACATGGTAAAGAGCTATTTTTCAGCTATTTGCACAATACCCTTTAGAACTTACTTACTGGAAGGACCTAGCAAACATCTTAACAAGAATCACAGGCATTTTGAAAGTCTCCCAGCACAATCACCTGCAAATGAACTGATAGCTGTCATATGCTATTTTTATGCTCTGGTTTAAATGGTGTTTTTTTACTATAAGCTATTCTTAACTATCTTGATTGTATTTGTTTTTTTAATGTTTTTGTGGCCGTGCCACCACTGAAGAACTTTCTCCTCAGGGAAAAGTTTAAGTTTTAGGACAGTTTTTTCCTTTAAAGAGCACTCCATTCATTACCGTACAGTGCCTCAGTAGCTTTTCAGTGGATGGATGAGGGATGTGTAAATAACGAGTGGATAACAGATGCTCTTTGTCTTTCTGCTTTCCACCCTTTCTACTAGGTGGTGTTAAAAAACGCCCACATGGCTGTCGGCTCCTTGACCATCAATGAGGAGAGGTCAGAGGTCATCGACTTTTCCGTCCCTTTCATCGAGACGGGCATCAGCGTCATGGTCTCCCGTAGCAACGGCACCGTTTCGCCCTCGGCCTTCTTAGGTGAGCAGCCAGGTGTCAAAAGTTGGGGGGCAGAAGTGGGTAGAAGGAAGAGCCTGAAGGCCATGTTTTAGACATTTTTTGATATTGTAACTATTCCATAAGTCTTTTAGGATCGTCACCTTTTCTAAAAGTTTCTTGGAAAAAATGTTGTCACTTATAAGCAGTTTAAGCCCTATCCGTTATTGGCCTCTATTCCTGGTTGGTTCCAAGTTGCATTGGGTGCTTGAACCCGAGTATACCGGCTTTCAGGTCAAGTTATTATTATTATGCCAGACTTTGGTTGTACACTGCAATGGACTGGTGGCCTGTCCAGGGTGTACCCCGCCTTCCGCCCAGTGTCAGCTGGGATTGGCTCCAGCCCCCCCGCGACCCTGTACGCAGGATAAGCGGTTGACGATGGATGGATGGACTTTGGTTCTACAGTCTAATCTGCTCAGGATGCAAAGATGAAATCTGTAGGATAGGTAGTACGGTTGGAGATCCAGTCAAATGCGAAAAATTTTTCCATGTCCACTATACAGGCTGCTATAATAAAGGCAAAGTGTTTTTCTTTATAAGTTGCGAGCCATACAACCGTGCATTTTCAAATCAGTATGAAATGTGGTATAGGTCACGTCCATTTCCGCCAGTAAATTATTATTGTTTTGGCAAATTTGTGAAATATGCAATATCTACTTTTGTGAATTACATGAAGATTGAGTTTTAGTTTGACGCAACTGTTATTTCTCCAGCAGACCTGACAGATTGAGAGTATTATATGGATCTTTGTTATATCACTTTAGATTGACGTCCATTCTTCCACCTTTAGATGTTGAACTAAAAGTAATTTAGTGGACACACTAAGTCATTAGAGCCAGGTTTTAATGCTTTTGTATGATGAGGAGGCAGACTAGAGTGCATGATAATATGGCTAACGGTTTATTTATTCTGTCTTTCCTGTCTCTTTGCCCTCTTATATTTCCCACTCCTACTCCATTTCTCTGACTCTTCCTTCCTCTCCTCAATCTGCTGCTCCACATTTGCATATCACTCTTGCCCTCTCCCTCTCTCGCTACATTTTCTCTTCCTCTCGTTCTCTCTGCTGCCCGCACTCTTTTCCCCCTCTTCCTCCCTCTCCTGATCTCTCTATCTTCCCCATCTTTTCTCTTTTTACAACTCTCTTTCCCCCTCTCTTCTCTTTTCTTAATCTCTGTCCATCCATGCTGTCTTTCTCAATCCCTCGTCTCCCTGATGTCCCTTCATCTCTCCCTCTCTTCTCTTCCCTCTCTCGCCCTCCAGAGCCCTTCAGTGCAGATGTGTGGGTGATGATGTTCGTGATGCTGTTGCTGGTGTCAGCAATGGCTGTGTTTATATTCGAGTACTTCAGCCCTGTGGGCTACAACCGCTGTCTGGCTGACGGCAAAGGTAAGAGGCCTCAGCTCAACACATGAAAACACACACACACACACACCCACACACACACACACACACACATCTAGACACAAGCATGGTATCTGTTGGGGGGTGGGTAACTGCACTATTGTTTGAGAAAGAAGTAAATTGTTGTAGACACTTTCTTTTCCAGTGTTCTAGTGGTGTTGCCTCCCTCATCTCTTAGTATTTTCTCTTACATACCATATGGGATATCGAAATTAGGGAAAACCGGGTATGGTTGTAACACTTTTTGCTTTATCAACTATAACTCACTGAATTTTTTTGCTAGAGTTCTCAAACTTTTATACAAAGTACCCACATTTGTTCACTACAAATGGCACCAATTCAGTTCTCCTTGTTACAACCTACCCCTATACCGGGGTAAGTTGTAACACACGCTGGGGGTAGGTTGTAACAATTAGACAAAAGAAGCAAAAATGGATGTCACACTATATGATATGCTTCAAAAACAATTATAGTGAAGTAAAAGGACTCACTGTAACAGATTATAAAATGTAAATTAAAATGTACCTAATTAAAGAACATCTCTGTACATCATTAGGTCTAACTAAAAGAGGTGTGTGTCTGTGTTTGTCAGTGTGTGTATATTCTTAATCAGAGTCACAGTCAGTGCTTGAAGTGGGCCGGTACTCATTGGTACGCAGTACAAGCACTTCTATATTTTACTCTTTGGCGTACTGGGACTTTTTGTTGCGCAGTGGAATTTCTCACAAGCTGCCTGTACATTTTTCTGCCCTCTCCGCCGGCGGAGACGGGGTATGGGAAAGATCGAGTGCCGATACATACACCAACATGTGATCAACATGTGAATGGGAAGTATTGGTCACATTGCTGGCAAGTGAATGCTGGTAACCCTGAAGTGCAGGCATGGTGGGCCTATACTGCAAAGGGCACTCTGTAAAATATTAAAATCAAAAAGTCCCTAGTTGTATGTATAGTGAATGGTTGTAACACGTGTTACAACCCACCCCACCCCTGTCAGCCAGTGTTTAGCTAGCTGTATTAGCATAGTGATTTGAAATTAGAAAGTAAAAAATGCATCACATGTTGCCTAATAAACTATATTTCAATCTAATATAAGTCAAACTATTTTATCTGCAATAGTATAGATACTAAACAAAATATAGTCTTGGTCAGAAAATTTACTTTCTGACCACAAAATCAGTTTTTTCTATATATACTCTGAATGTGCCTGTTTCCAAACTTGAGAACCACCATGCCTGATCAGTGAGGAAGTAGGTAAATACTGGTATGACTGCTTAACTCCTATCTTATCTCTAATTGGTGGAATTGGTGTTGTTACAACTCTCCCCATGTTACAACCATACCCGGTCTCCCCTACCTTTATCTACATGACAACAAATTACATGACAGCTGTTCACTTCCAACACAAATTAGGCAACTTGAAGCGCTTGGTTCACGATCATCACATCAAGGTGTTGATGTTGAACACTGATATGAAGCACACAGCGCACTGGTTTTTAAGATATTTGCAGCTGTGGAAGAAGTACACAGATCCTTCAGCTTATTTAGTACAAATGCAACTATGTAAAAATACTTACTTACATTAAACCTACTTAAGTACTGAAAAGTATTATTAAAAATATAGAGATATTATTAGGAAAATACACTTAAAGTATCCAAAGTAAAAGTACTTTGTATAAGATTGCCTCTGTGACTGACTTTATTATCTATTACATTATTAGATTGTTAATACTCATACATCAATTGGTAATAGGGATGGGTATCAGTAGATACCAATATTATATATACACGATATTTATGGTATCGACCAAAACAGCCCAGTATCGAGTAGAATCAAAAAGTCTCCAGTGAAACCAGCACTTCATTCGATACTTTATAGCCAGATTGCAGCAAAAAATTACTCTTTGTATGGTTTTGCTTGCAGCCAAACACTCAAGCAACACACCGAAAGAAAGAGAAGAGCACGCCTTTTTTTCCTTATGTGTCTTCACCATAAAATGTATAAAAAAAAGGCCTGCACGTGTCCATGCCTGACTTTAACAGCCGATCACCTTTGGCTGCGGTCTCAGGCATGTTCATCACTGTTGCAAGTTTATCACCACAAGCTTGGCATTCCGTTGGTTTCATCTTCTGTTATCATTTAACACTTCGCTGTACATTTTAATTTGCTATTCACATCACTTGTTACTGAAAGATCGCTGCGTTCCATCACATCAATTAAACGCTTTTGTGGTGCAGCAGCGATTGGCTGATTTTACTCACGGAGCCGCCAGCTGCAGCTGCTTCAGATGTAGTCAGTGTGATCGGCTGGATGTGCAGCCTCTCTTTTCCTCTGTTTGATACTTTAGAGTCTTTAGTGTAGTTTAGTGACTTGTTTAAACATACTTCTTACTTGTTTTATAACTGTTACTGTGGTTTTTGGAGGAGGATTTTGTTTCCAGGATCTTGGAACAATTCGGGGCTTAGCCCAATCCCAGAAATCTTTCATGCTTTCACCTGTAAATCATTGAGCTACATATTAATTATTAAATATCATAGGCCATATAAATACATTCATTATGATTTTTAGAATTACTACTGATAATAATTAACACTGATAATATTAATTGAGGGGGAGGGGGGGTTATAAATAAAATATAAATAAAAAATATGTATAGTGTAATATAATGCAGTAAGGCTCTCAAGACATTCTGTCATTGCTGTCAGAAATGTTTGGCTGAAGTAGCCTAAAGTCTTTTTAAATGTGCATGTGACAGCTTTTCACCTCAATGATAAATTAGCTTAATTAATTGAAATTCAGTTAGAAACAGCACATTAACAATTTCCCCCACGTATCTGTGTCCTCTGAGATTTGCAGAATAATATTTTGGGACAAAAGTTGTAATATTACGAGTATAAAACCACAATCTGATGAGAATTATGTCATAATATTTTCACAAAATCTACATGCCCCTCTGCTGTTCATTACCCTGCGTTATTGCTCTGCTGATATGGTGGTAGGCTACCCCCTTTAGACCGTCTGACAGACACAGAGCCCGTCTGGGACTGCAGGCTACTCGATGAGACGAGCTCACTGCTGTTCATCAGAGGTAGAAAACCGAAACTGAAAACACTTGTGATCAGACAGAAATCTCACTACACATACACACAAACGTTAACTTCAGCACCTCTGATAAAGTGCAGCTCACAGTGGCTTCAGTTAGAAGCATCCTGGAGAATCCCAAACAAAGCAAAGTGTCTCTGAGCGAGGGGGACAGAGTATTGTTATGGAAATCGAAAGTTAACAAAATAATTTTCCATTGTTTACTTTCAACACACGTATTAAAAAATTAATTTGTTTCCCACAACTATTTGGTCACTAAACTATTTCACTCCTCTTGTCTCATACAAATACTACCTGCGAGGATGACCTAATTAAGATGAGGATGTGATACAATTTCCCAATATATGTAACAGTTATTTGTAACCAGAAAAAAATAAAATAGATAACCTTGCTTGTCCATAACAATAAAAATATTAATAGGCTACCAATCAACTACTATGGCTTGAACAGGTGGCATTTTATGCAAGGTATCGAATGAAGTACTCTGTTGGTATCAGTTTCACTTTAAGGGTACAGGTTTTAAAGATACTCAACCCTAATGGGTAAGTATTATTTTATTGGTCTAGCTCGTTGGGGTAGAGCTGGTTTTATCTATGCTTATAATGAGATATTATATACAGTTATGTAGTGTAAGCCAGTTGTGCATGACCAAGTCCTGTCCAAAGGGTTGCAAGAAAAATCTGGTGATGTGTGAGATGATTCATTGGATAGAAAAGAATAAAGAACAAAGCTATTTGTTTGGACTTTGGAATAAATGATATTCATCGCATTCCCTGGATTGGAAAATTTTGCCTGTGTCAGGTTTTGCCGTGTTTTCAGGCAGGTACATGTTTTAGGACCCAAACGCTGGACACAGAGGCAGAACAGGTACAGTTTCTGAGTACAAAACTTCCGGCAGTGTCCAAAACTCAACAAAGGTAGTCCATGGAACAGAAAGCAAAGTCCAAAACAATCCAGCAGGTAATATTCCAAAAAGCAATAGGGATCAGGAACAGACAGGTAACAGGGAGACACACAGCAAGAACACATGCAACGAACCAGCAAGAGCTGAACAGAAGCGACAAACACAGGCTAATGAGGAGGGTGGGAGCACAAACAGGTGATACTAATATTGAGAGCAGACAGACACAGGCAGGCAGGGTGATGGACAGACAGAAACACAGACAGATACCAAGCAGGACAAAACTTATTGAACTACTAACAAATCCACAGATAAAACCCAAACAGATACATGGACACAAATAAACCGTTATACAGTGCACAACAGACCATAACAAGATAAGACAAATGAATAGAACAGAACAAGGAATGCACCAAAACAATCACGAACACAAGCAGACAGATCAAAACCAGACAAGACATGGAAACAGACTCATAGAACAAACTGACATAGAAAACAACCAAATAGGGAGAGGTAAATAACTAAGACCGGGCAGACAGAACACAAGACAAGAATCAAACTACAGTAGAACCCAAAACACAGACCAGACAAGCACACAAACTAAACAAAACAGAGCAGACACCCAAACTAACACTGCAGACAAGGCAAAACTAATACCAGCAGAGACTAAACAAGACATTAAACCAACAGAAACAACACAAAAGCACAGAACGCACAAAGCAAACAAAATAAGAACAGATCAAAATTAAGTAACACAGAACAGGCAGAGAAATAACCTAAACACTACACCATAACAGAATCCCAAGAAGACAGACAGAAACATATCAGGATCATGACAGCCTGTGGAAATAACCCCGGCAGAAATTACATTTAATCTAAAACATAATTGGTAACATGCAGCACATGAATATAAGCACATTTTGTAGGAGACAGGGTTGTCTTTTGGTGAGCAGGGACGATGTTTTAGCAGATCTGATAATCCCACTTCTAACACACATACTAACCAAAGCAGATGAGATACTAATTGTCCCTCTCGATTGGCATCTCCTTTTCACAGGCTGCTTTTCACTATTTGCACTCATAAATTGATAAATGAAATGATAAATCTGAATGGTGGTGGGTCATTCACACTCCAGCACCAGCACTGCCCAGTGTTGGGTATAATTTTCTGGCATGTTCCAGTTTGTGATTTTCTAAATAGTGGCTGAATGGGAGAATGTTTAGCAGCCAACTTGAAAGTCCTGGATGTGAGGCTACCACCAGCAAAGCAGTACAATCTGATAGTGGAATTGTGGATCCAAATCAAGCCAAGTATTCTCTGTCCACCCAATTCCAACACTTTCATCTTTGCTGCTGAAGTCTGAGAGTGAGGATCCAAAGTATGCAGAGAACATGGCGGTGGGCAATTTTGTCCTCTAGAGAGGGAGTGTTGGATGAGTAATGCTCCAACTAATAATTTGAACCAAACAAGCAAGCACAGGTACGGCTCTGCAGGTTAAAGCTTTCTGTCTGTAACAATGCCAGTGTGGATTGTCTTGTATGAATTGTCTTTTGCTTTGCACATAGACTGACAGAGACACAGACACACACACTGCAGGCCGCCTCCACATATAGACCAGCTGTCCTCACTGACCCAATGACTTCATTCTCCTCTCCTCTTCATCCTCCTCCTCATCCACACTGCTCTCTTTACATCATTTACAGGTGTGTCTCACTGCTTGGGCTTCAACACTCCTCCAGAACTGCTTCCTTCACACTGAACAAGCCATTTGTATTCATTTCCATATTTCCCAAAATCACATGACAGCTCTGACAGCAATGGGGTTAGTTTTGTTAGATCTCCCCAGCCAAAAAGATAAGAAACAAACAAACAAAAAAAATCAATGTCTTCCCACAACTCTCTCTCTCTCTCTGAAGTGGCTATATATAGACAATAGCCATCTTTTTTTCATTCCTGAAAGTTCTGGAGAAGCTGTACTCCTCCCTTAAGAGCTGTGCTCTTCAGTGTGCCTCCTTGTTTTATCTGCTTGTAGCGCTGTGGGAGTTTGGTATCATGAAGAGTGCAGATCGAAGTTTGGACTCAAACGATTTGGTGCAATACTGTATCAATGGCATGACTGCAGATTTGTAAAGTCTCTGCCTGATTCACTTAACCAACTTTCTTGCAAACTTCACAAAGGAGATATCTGGCACGATAAAGTCAGTTTGTCCATGAACAAAAGCCCCATACAACAATACAAGCCCACATGCTCGCACACACAATCTCTCTTTCTCTCTCGCACACTCACACATACCCACACAAACATTATGAACCAACTGGTAATCACAGCATAATGGCTGGAATGAACAAGTTTGCTTCCAGCTCATGGATGAATTGAACCAACACACTTTCTAACTTTTACAAAAAATAAAATATCATTCATTTACATTGTAACATACAGCCCTGTCAGGCTGTGAATGCTAGCATGGCAACATGTTCACAAAGGCCACGCTATCATGCTGATGTTTAACAGGTATAATGTTTACCAGGTTCAACAGCTTAATTTAGTGTGTTAGCATGCTAATGTTTGCTAATTAGCACAAAGCACAGCTCAGTATAGCTGAGGCTGGTAGGAATGTCAATATTTGGTTATAAACCAAATGATTGGATAAATTTGACCTGATGATGGTGCTAGAGAAAAGGTTCTAAAAACAATCACCAAAGTTATTACAATTCCTTCCGAGGGGGAGATTAATGTGTGTAACAAATGTCATGGCAATTCATCTAACAGTTGTTGAGAAATTGATTGACAGATATGCAGCTAGTGTGGCAAACAAGTAACATGTTAAAACTGAATAGCTGCCATACCAGGGTAACTTTAATGAGAATATATCAGTATGCTGTCAATATAAAACTGTAACTTTTAGACTGATTCAGGAATTAAATAAGACATTCATTCATTCATTCTACAAAACAAATTCGCTGCTCAGCTGGAGACGCATGAGTAAAAGAAGACCAACTGTGCCTCTTACTAAACCAAAGCTGATCTGTCACGTACTGTTTTAACCATGGCTGTGTTTCTTTCAGAGCCTCACGGCCCATCCTTCACCATCGGTAAAGCCATCTGGCTGCTGTGGGGTCTGGTCTTTAACAACTCTGTGCCAGTACAGAACCCCAAAGGCACCACTAGTAAGATCATGGTGTCAGTGTGGGCCTTCTTTGCTGTCATCTTCCTGGCCTCCTACACTGCCAACCTGGCTGCTTTCATGATCCAAGAGGAATATGTGGACCAGGTAACTGGTCTCTCAGACAAAAAGGTAAGATGGGAGCCGTTGATGCTATGCTGCTCGCTTCTGATCTCCCTGTCTTCTTTGTCTTATCTGTACCTTTAATTTGTAAAGTAAATGTTTTGCATGCCTCTCTAACCACGCTCCATCTTCCATGTGTAGTTCCAGAGTCCCAACGACTTCTCACCTCCGTTTCGGTTTGGCACCGTCCCAAACGGGAGTACGGAGAGAAACATTAGGAACAACTATCCAGAAATGCACTCCTACATGACAAAGTTCCATCAGAGAAACGTTAACGAAGCTCTGCAGAGTCTCAAGGCCGGGTGAGAAACTGCACACTAAAGTGGTCCATTTGGTTTTACTGTAAAACCAACTTTATAATTGCAGTCCAAGCAAAATGTTTCATAACAAAAGGAATTTAAAGGGTTTATGTTTGTCCTTATTTGACAAATGGCAACTATCATCATCAGATATTGAACAGTATATTTTGGTATATGTTGATGTCCTGGCTTCAGGCATGTACACATCTCTTATTTCAGTAGTTTATTAAATTGAATCCTGCTCATTTGTTGTAGCATTCTCTAAGCATGTTTTCATTCTGTTGAATTCAAGGGGTGGCATTCAATTGTATTGCAGCAGTTGTGATGATCGTTAAGGGAATCAAAAGCAGGTGAACAGGTTCTGGAAAATATGTAAATGTCAATGGATGGTCATGATACCGTAGTAACATATTGTAATAGTGAAAAGTTTTAAAAACAATAAATGCTAAAGTCCCCTGTTTATGTCTTCCCTACTTGTCTTCATGTAAACATATTGTTGCTGAATAACTCCAGTGATACTTTCACTCCCCCTCTCCAGTTTTCACCAAGTGTGCCTTTTCGCCAGTCTGTGTGCCAGCTCCAGCCTTTGGCAAACCAAGTGGAAGTTTATTACACTTATCAGCAGCTTAGTCCTATTTAGCAGGTTAATTGGAATGTTGTAGCTGTGATGTCTGACTCCTAAGTGCTAATTAATTGTAACCTACCTCGCTCTCCCTTTCTCCCTCTCTCTCTTTCTCATTAGCAAACTAGACGCTTTCATTTATGATGCGGCTGTACTGAACTACATGGCTGGCAGGGACGAGGGCTGCAAGCTGGTGACCATTGGCAGCGGCTACATCTTTGCCACCACGGGGTACGGCATCGCCATCCAGAAGGAGTCACTCTGGAAGAGACATGTGGATTTGGCCATCCTGCAGCTCTTTGGAGACGGTGAGGCAGCATACTGCTTTCTCCTCTGTTTTATTCAAATATACTGCTCAGTTTAATGCACTCACAAATGGAGACAGTGCAGCTGTGCCGATAATGATGAGTTGTTTATTTAATTACTCAAAGATGCACCAGATAGTTACTGCGATAAAACCATACTTTACCAGAGAAGGAGACAGAACATAACTTCTGATTGACAGCCTTGAAGCTAACATTAAAGGAGAATTATTATTTTACTGACTTTGGCCGGCATTTTTATTGATTATTATAACATTGTACAAGTTAATTGCTGAAACCTGGGAACATAGCAACATCACTGAAATAAAGTCAGATCAGACAAGAAACACAATGGGTTAGACAAGTTGTAAAGCAGGCAAAATCAAGTTAGTTCACCTGAAATGTTGGAAATAATCTCTCATAACAGGATGTCAGTCTGTAGACGGTGATGTGTCTGCACAACAGACAGTTTTGGTCAGGAGTTTAGAAATGGCCTTCGTTTCCTCATGAGGGTTTGTTTAAAACCTGTTTGATCATCTGGCTGCTCGTGTGTCTGCCCCATCTGACTTATTTCCTAAGAAAATAAGAAGAATAAGTTGTAATAAACCTGAATTATCCTCTAAGAACTAATTCGAGGTGCGTGATTTACCCACCAATAAGCTATGAACAAATCTTGCCTCAGGCTGTGCTGCAGGGATAAATAACAGTGGCTAAGTTTATTTCTCATGGATATTAGTCTAAAATAGTCTGTTTTCAAGTGTTTACTCTACACAGGCAAACACAGACCTCACAGACAGTAAGATTTTAGGGTTTCACCCACTGCCTGTTCAGGATAAGAATTGTGGAGAGAGGAGAAAAACATAGATTTTCTAAGAAATTTGTGTGTCTGCGACCACAATTTCAGTTAATTGGCTCTGCAAGTCAAATGTAGAGTAATTGCACTCTCATATATAATAAGAACTGACAGAAAAGGTAAGATGGTGCTGCTAGGAATATAAATTGAGATTTAGCTCCACCGTGGGGCCCTGTGCTTTATGATCACGCTTGCCTTTTATACTGTCCAAGCTCTCTAGGGCTTGTTCGTTTGAAACACTTTCCTGTCAGCTCTTGTTGGAACATGAATGCATCTCAGAACGAGTAGGTAATGAAATAAAATATGTTCAAAATGTTCATTCCTAACCCGTATAGTATATTCTTTATGGTTTTCAAGCAGAAACTCTTGATCATAAACAAGTCAAAATGTCACATATAAGGGCTGTCCGCTGAGTTTATCGACTTTAACATTCTAATTTCACAATTTCCTGTTTTGATTTACAACTCAATTCAGAAAGGGAAATGGAAGTTTGGTGTGTGTGTGTGTGTAGGTTTGAGTGTCTGTTGTAGCTAGTTTATTTGGGCATGGTCCAACGTGTTGTGAGCATCCTGAACCAAGGGCCCTCCGGGGCCCACTATAGTGCGTCCCAGTTAGGGGTGCCAGCATAGCTCCTGGTGTATTTCAACACCGTGTGTGCATGTGTGCGTGCGCTCATGTGAATATGGGTCAGGCCTCTGAAAATGAGAGGGCCTATGTGTGTTAGCGAGAGGTGTTTGTGTGTGTGTGTGTGTGTGTGTTACAGAGATAAAGAGAGTGTGCTGCAGAGATTGTGACTATTTATGACATTGGTTTATTTTTATCAACCTACATACAATTCAGTAAGAGTTGTGTGCATATGGTTTCTGACTTATTGATTATAAGTTGAGTTATTTATATGTTTAACTTACAAAAATGATTTTTCAAACATGTATGTAAGACTGATATATGTGTGCCTGTGTATGTTTTGTATTCATGTTCAGACACACACACGTCTCTGAATATGGGTCGGCTCGCACTAACATCCCCCTGTGCCACTGCAAAAGCATTCATACAGGAACCAAGCGGCCCTGTCTCGAACCTCTCAGGATTTCAATGTCACTATGCCACGCCTCACCATCCACTTCCCTCCTGGTGGCCTAGAAAGCGATCAGACTCACGTGGGGAGCCCAGTGGCCTGGTACGAAGGCTGGAAGGGAGTCTGGGTAGTTTGACGCAGGCCTGAGCAAAAAATATGTCACAGCTGTTGTGAAAAGAAAATGACAGTTTTGATTGGTGATTTTCTAATTCGCTGTTGAATGGAAAGTTTTGAAGTCATTTACAGTACATGTTGAGTTTAATAACCAAATGGCAGACCTGTTTCAGAGATGCCAGTCATGAATTATGTCACAGCTGTCAATTTTAACAACAAAGTCAAACGTCAGCTGAATAGTCATTCTTTCGGTTGAATCTTCCAGTGTGCTTTATTTTATTCCCCTTACATTATTTTCCACAGAGCAAAGCACCATAAAAGTTAAAGGAATAGTTTTAGGAAGTATGTTTTCTTTCTTTCTGGAGTAAAGTTTGAGAAGATTGATACAACTCTCATGTCTGTATGGTAAAAATAAATGTACCTCCAGCAGCAAGTTAGCTTAGCTTAGCATAAGGAGATAGTGTGCGCACAACCCCATTAAAATAGCAAATTGTTGTTGTGTCACTTTGGTTTAGTGAATTTACAGGTACTGGTACAGTAGGAATGTTTTTTTACCTTCCAAGCTAGCTTCCTGTTTTAATTTTTATGCTAAGCTAAGCTAACTTGTTGCTAAGTTTAGCTTCATATTTATGAGCCATTACATTTACAGACATGAAACAGGTATCAATCTTCTTATATAACTCTCTGCCAGAAAATTAATGAGCCTATTTCCCAATATTACTGCTTTAAGGTTACAAAGATCAGTTGTAAAAGTCTTGTATTCTCTCGGAAATATATCATTAAATGCCTCAACTCCTCTTGCATTGAACACTGAAAAATCAACTAGCAGAGACCTCAGACTTGCTTGAGATTACTACATGAAATATCCAGATGTCTTGCACAATCTTAATTCAAGGTCCACTTATTAGGTTTTCCAGAACTATCAGTTTGATCTCATGCTTTTCATCAGTGGATGGAGTTTTCTCACTTGTCATTGGGATAGCTTAGTTGTCATCATGCAACCTATTTTAAGTTTGCAACTTTAGATGATGAATATTGTGAGCTGCAGTTGAAGGCTGTGGGAAAGCTAATAAATTGTCCTTAAAAATATACCATGGCAAAGCCATTGTGCTTAAATGCTCTTGTCATACAAATGTCAATGTTATACGCCACTGTCACAAATGGTTGCAGTTCACAGTCAGGTTTTCAGCAGTTACAAGAAGGAGCTGCTGTACGGTTGCGTCTATATTGTTGCCTGCATGCATGCATGTGTGTGTGTGTGTGTGTGTGTGTGTGTGTGTGTGTGTGTGTGCGGTGACTCTCCCCGGGTTTGTATGCTGTGGTGCTTCTTGTTGATGCTCAGAGGCCAGCCGGTGCTCCAGAGTTGCACCGACGTGAAGTGACAACGGCTGAATGTATGATTAATTAACCAACGCCTGTCCTGCCACAGTCGGCTTTGATAGAGAACAACTCGTGATGAAACAGAAGGTGACCCACAAAAGAGACCAGAAGCTCAGGGACCAGCATCAGACACACTCACACACACACACTCACTCAAACACAAACACACTTATGCAAACACTTGTCTTTTACATTTTGAATAGGTGCATGCACATTTTGACGATGAAAAGTTTAAATATTTTGTGGTAAACACACACAATTATTTGCAGAAATTAGTACAAAAAAAGATCGATGTGATTAGCATGTGACCAATGGCGCGTTTTACTCTTTTCCTTTCTGCAATGAAGTCTACTGCAAAATTCAAGGCTGTATTTCTAACTCCCCTGACCCCCCTCTTCCCTCCTCCTGCCCGCCATCTTCCCTCCTCTCTTCTTCTGTTGCATCATCTCGCCATCCCTCGTGTCCTCCAATACCCATCCTGTTATTACATCATATCCCTCCTCTCTCCTTTATATTTAACATTCCTTCCCATTTTTTTGCACCGCTTTCTTTATTTCAATTCCCATACGAATTATAAAAACACTCTTCTTTTCTTCTTCTGCCCATCCATGGATCTCCCTCCTTCCTTGCCTCCATCCCACTTCCTTCATGCTGTTGCTACGTCAACTCTTTACCATCCCTCAATCCGACCTTCTCATCCATCTCTCCCTGCCTCCTCCCCTCTTCATACCATCTGTTTCTCCTTTCATCCTTTCACTCTCTCCCTCGCTCTGTCCTTCATCTATCCCCCCCCCCCGCCTGTGGCATTACATTTCCTCCATCCAGGTGAAATGGAGGAACTAGAGTCCCTGTGGCTGACTGGGATCTGCCACCACGAGAAGAACGAGGTGATGTCCAGCCAGCTGGATGTGGACAACATGGCCGGTGTCTTCTACATGCTCGGTGCCGCCATGGCTCTGTCACTCATCACCTTCATCTGCGAACACTGGTTCTACTGGCAGCTGCGCTTCTGCTTCATGGGCGTCTGCTCCGGCCAGCCCGGCTTCGTCTTCTCCATCAGCAGGGTGAGACAGGGCGAGGGAAGGAAAAACAGCAATTATAAGAAAACAGACTTAAAGCTGTCCACCTATATGGTAAAACACAGAGAGCAGCATATTTACTCACTTTTGGAGACCCTCTCCACTGAGAAATGTTGATCAGCTAGTCATGGCTTGTGGTTTTTCAAAAATATTCTGATTGACAGATTCAGATTGCCAATAAATTCTGTTCAGAACAGAGCCATCACACTTGAGCTGGCACATTACACACCATGCTCTTGTTTTTTAAGCATCAATATCAAGCAGAAGCGCAGTGGAAGCACACTTTATACACCACAACTACTCTTTGTCTCTCACAAATACAAAAGGTGACAACATCTAGAAGGATTTCAGCTTTGATTCTCTGAAACATTTGAAAGAAGACAGGCCACATTCTTCCTTTTACAAAGGTAAAGTTGCATTCATAAGCAACGCAAAGCACATCCTGTTGAATACACTCAGGAGGTTTTGCTACTACAACCACACTTGGTCTGGTTAAAATTATTTATTTATATATTTTATATAAGCCATTAGCTTATGGTGGCTAATTCCCTACACCATCAGCTTTTCTGTTTCCAATGTCTCTGAAATGAAAGTGCTTCATTCTTCAAGGCGTTACTGATGCTAAAATTGTGAATGAGCATGTATCCTACATGACCAAACCAAACACTTCCAGAGTAGACAGATATAGAAGCATTTTCCTTTTGTTTTAATGCTTAGGCCTCTTTGACGTCCATGAGGTAAATATTTACAAAATGTTGAGCCCAAATCAATATTTCACTCAACAAAAATCAGACAGAACCGGAGAGGGTAGATTACTGGATCACAGGAGACCAAAGTCACCCCCAGGTATTTGATTTGCATTCCAATTGTTTTGACATGGCTTTGGTGTAATTCACTGTGTGCCTCTGAAGGTGAACTGCTGCAGGCTGAACCACGTGGCTAATTTACAGCAGAGAGCCACACACTGCTGCTCTCTCCCTCCATTAGATATGCTGCTGTGGTGCCGGGGCTGCTTGTGCCAAGAAAGCAAGGCTACAGAGAAAAGAAAAAAAAAACATAACATTTTCCCCTCTCTGCTCTAATATTACGCTCCAGTGCCCAACTTTGATTATTTTGTATGGTGTTAATTTTACATTGTTGCTGTCGCCTTGTTGATGGTTGTGTGTGCGTGTCCGCGTCTGTTTGTGTAGAAGGAGCATAAAATATCAGTTGCTAAAATGTCAGTTGACTTCTCATTTCCAAAGACAGGCTGCTTGGTGTTGTTTTTGATTATTACATCATTATCATTTGTATGGGAACTGGATCTGAAAGCAATTATGCTTTGTGTAACATTCAGTGATTGCTCTCATTTACAGAAATTACCTCTGTCTTTGCTTCAATGTGACAACATAAATGAACGCTGTGTGTCCACACATACAGCCAGATGATTCAGTATGTTAAAATATTCAGGGGAATCTATTATCTGTCCACAATCCTCGACCACAGACTCACATTGTCTCCTTCTCATTTACTTGAGTGTTTTCTCTCCAGCCTTGGCCATTTCTGCCTTTCTTTCTTTTTTTTCTTGCTCTGCCACTCAGATTGATTCCGCTTTTTTAATTTCACAGCATAATCCAATAAACTTTATTGTTATTACTGCAATTAACATTTAAGCTCGGCAGTGTAAAAAATGAGACATCTGTCACGGTTGGCGTGAGTCACGTGGCTTTGGTCATGGCTTCACGGTCGATTAGCGTTTCCTCCCTCTGAGGGGCTCAGTAGCTTTGTGAGCGGCTCTCCCCTGGCTACCTGCTCTGCCAGGTCCCACCTGAAACAAATTAATTAAATCGATTTAAAAAGCCTCTAATGACTTCAGAACAGTAAATGTATTAGAGGTTTAATCGCTCCTCTTTTCACAGCCCTCACATCACATCATGGCTAAGTTCATTTGCATTTAGCGCCATATACTTGCACAACACACAGGCGGTATTAAGTTACGAGCTGCTGCTTGTACAGTTGGCACTTTATATGCAATTGTACATGGGGGGCAGCTAGTTATTTGTTGATTTCCTGCCTCTCTGTACCAGTGTAATCACTTATAGATTTTGCTATGATCCCTTGGTGGATTGAAAATTCTTAGGAACCCTCAGGCCACAGCTATTTCTATTCACACATCCTGCCCAAATAATCAGCTACTGTAGCACTGGGCTGGCAGCAATCTGCCAACTGTTACATTATGTGGGCATGTGGAGTAGACAAAATCTGCTGTTGAATACAAAGCAGCAATCACTCTGTTAAATGTCCAAGATTTGATGCACTACAGCAATAACTTGTTGTTCCTGGCTGCTTGTTGCTTATTTGTGTGTGTGTGTGTGTGTGTGTGTGTGTGTGTGTGAGACAACACAACCCCAACGTCTAAAGCCTGCAAGCTGAATTCAGCCTAAGACGGGATGATGTCATAGATGTCATGGGAGGGAAGATATGACAGATTTGGCAGCAGGTGGGATGTAATCAGGACAATAAAAGAAGAAAAACAAAAGAGATGAAGTGATGGCAAATTATATAAACAGGCAGATGGAAAAGAAGAAACACAGAGAAGGACCAGATAAACATTGAAAGATGGTTCTGTGTGAACCCCCCCCCCCAAAAAAACCCTGAAATATCACGCCAGGTGGACGTATACATTTGTCCTCCACTTCAAGATTCCTATCCAAATCCCAAATTTCTCCAATACAGTTGAGTCATTTTGTATTTATGTTAACCTCTCTTGGTTTGAGCTACTGTCAAGCTTTACATACTTGGCTGTTAACACACTGTGAAATTGAAAGAAGTAATAACATTATCTACAAAACCGGCATGAGGGATGAAGGCCTTTTTGCTGCAACACAGGCACTGTCCATGTAGCTAATTAACAACCAGAAACAAGTGCCTAGGGAAAGGAGAACTAAGGGCCAACAAGTCATATTAGTGGATAAAGGGAGGAGGTTGGAAGAGTCATAACTTAATAGCTGAGAGTAGTTGACAGCCGGCTGACCCCTAACCTCTTGGCTGAAATCTGACCTCCGCCGTGGCGCAGAGGATGGAGGTCAGGTGATCTCTGATCTGTAACAGTGGCCAAAACATCCCTTTATTTCCATAGTCACCTACAGACATCCAGAAAAACTGAGTAAAATCATTGTTTGGAATTGATCGGATCCTTTACCCTTCCCTTCTCTGTCATGCCTGGTCTGCTCTCCTCTGTACATCCATTTGTATCTGAATATCGCACATCACTGAATGCAAATGGAGCAGTTTATCTTTCTGTCACTATAAAACTCAGCCAGTGTCTCCTTGGCTTGGCTTTTCTCTTCAGAGGGGATTGTGCTGTGGTGTTGAGGGGTAGTGGAACTGAGGTGTTTAATAACTGCCGGAGGATATTGTTCAGCTGAATTCTAATCACATTGATTAAAGGTATTGACCAGTGGGACCCCGGGGTGTTTACAGCCCCTTTGCCTTTATTAATCATCCACCATCCAGCTACACTATCCTCTCTGAATCTTCATACTGTAAGCTCACTTGCAGTCTCTCACTTGATCTAACACGAGCAATATACTGCATGCTATGGTCTATAAATTACATGCAACATATACATCTGTTTTATTCTTACTTTTTACTGTATTTATTCAACAAGGTATTGTCATTATCAACAAAAAGAGCATTTCTCATTGTCATCTTAAGTTCTAAAAATCGGGGTGGTCACGACTGCAATGTATATGGCTGTACAACTCAGTGTTTTATTTCTATAAACTTAAAATACAATATTAGTGAATAATATTGGTTAAATTTACCAAATGTTCCCACTTTAAAGCTGCCTCTTTCCTGTATTTTCCGCACACAGGGCATCTACAGCTGTATCCACGGGGTGCAGATTGAGGAGAAGAGCAGCTCGGCACTGAACTCCCCTTCAGCCACCATGAACAACACCCATTCCAACATTATGCGCCTCTTACGCACCGCCAAGAACATGGCCTCCCTGTCAGGGGTGAACGGCTCACCCCACAGCGCTCTGGACTTCATCCGCCGCGAATCGTCTGTTTATGACATCTCTGAACACCGGCGCAGTTTGGCGGGCCATTCAGACTGCAAGCCACCTTACTTACCAGACGACAACATGTTCAGCGACTACATCAGTGAGGTGGAGAGGACGTTTGGCAACCTCCACCTTAAGGACAGTAATCTGTACCAGGACCACTACCTTCACCACCATGGCTCAACGCTAGGGCTCGCCGGACCTCCTCCCAACAGGCCCCATAGCTTGGGCAGTGCTAGTTCTCTGGAGGGCGGCATGTTCGACTGTGACAGCCTGGGTGGAGGGGTGGCCCCTATTTTCACCACCCAGCCCTGCTCAGCACTGACCCACAGGAACATGAGCAAGTTTGACCTGCTGTCTGGACAGACTCCACCCTCGGGTCAGAGCTTTAAGGGAGGCCTGCCTGACTTGTACGGGAAGTTCTCCTTCAAGGGAGGTGCCTCAAGTTCCACATACATCCCTGGCCATAACTACTGTGGAGGGAGGGGAGATGACGATGGGAATATACGTTCAGATGTCTCAGATATTTCCACGCACACAGTAACTTATGGAAACCTGGAGGGTAATGCCAAGAAGCGCAAACAATACCGTGATAGCCTGAAAAAGAGGCCGGCCTCTGCCAAGTCCAGACGGGAGCTGGACGAGATTGAGCTGGGCTACAGGAGGAAACCCTACCACATCAGCCACCACCACTACCACGGCCACCGCTCTTCCTCCCCACCACTTTTGCCCACTGAACGGAAAAGAGGAGGAGTAGGTGGAGGAGGAAACAATGATGGAAACTCCTATGTCTTCAGAGAAAAGGAGAGCGTTAGGGATTTTTATTTGGACCAGTTTCGGCCCAAAGAGGGTGTGCCTCAGTGGGAACATGTGGACCTGACAGAGGGCCCTGTGAATAGAGATGGAGGAGTGGCGACCTGCACCTCCCTGGTTCCAGTGGATGACTTTCTTAAGAGCAAACCCAAAAAGTCAGATTCAAAGAGTGGGGGAGGATCTGGACTGGCAGGGGGGGAGTGGGAGTGCAGGAACTGTCGGGCTAGAGGAGGGGGCAAGCAGATGTCCATGCATGGAGCAGGTGGTGGTGGAGGGTATGGTGGTGGTATGAGTTGCGGGTCCTCGGGAGGTGGAGGAAACAGCCGCCCCAGCTCTGCAACCTGCATGCGCTGCGAGGGCTGTAAAAAGACAGGAAACCTCTATGATATCAGTGAAGATAACAACCACCTCTTGGAACAGATGGGGGGGAGGGACAGGTGTGGGAGGAGGAGGAGGTATGGTCGCTGGCCCTCAGTCTCAACCACAGGGTCAGCAGAGAAGGAAGGGTGGATTAGGCAAACCACTTAGGCGGCAGCACTCATATGACACATTTGTCGACCTTCAGAAAGAGGAGTCAGGCGGGATGGGAAGTTTAATGGGTCTAGGCGGAGTTGGAGGGATGAGTGGTGCAGGTATGGGAGGGATGCTGCCCCCACCCAGGAGTGTTAGCTTGAAGGAGAAAGAACGCTACATGGAGGGCACCAGCCCCTTCGCACACATATTTGAGCGTCACGGGGGCTCTGAGAGAGAAAGAGAAAGAGACAGGGACCCATTGTTTTACGGAGGTGAGGGCCGGCAAGGACCCGGCTCACCATTCGGCCTGTTCAGAGGCGGTGAGGGCCTTCACCGCCGCTCCATTGGAGAGAGAGACATGAGAGACAGGGATAGGTCTTTGATGGAAGGAGGAGGTGGGGGAGCGTTCTCTTTATCCAAATCTCTTTACCCCGACAGGGTAAACCAAAACCCCTTTATACCCACCTTTGGCGATGACCAGTGTCTGATGCACGGAGCCAAACAATATTACATGAAAAAGCAACAGCAGCAGCAACAAGTTGCCAAAAACAGCCGAAGTGACTTCAGGAGTCAGATGAGCACGGCGTCATATCTGCCAGCGTCTGCAACAGCCGGGGTGATGTCCAACGTGGCCCCCCGGTTCCCGAAAGAGCTCAGCCTCGGTGGAATGAACCACCATGGCTCCATGCTGGGGGTTGGCCCCCCGCGTCCCTTCAATGGAAGCAATGGCCATGTGTACGAGAAACTCTCCAGCATTGAGTCTGACGTGTGAGAAAAAATGGGGGGGACAAGAAGCGGTCAATGGCAAGGGGGAAGGAGGAAAGGAATAGAGGCATCAGTGTTAGGAGATCAGGGATGATTTTAAAGACACTGTCCACACACTGCAACCCTAGCCCATATTGGGACAGCACGATGAGGTAAAAGAGGAGAGCGCTAGAGGAGGAAAAGGCCGAAAGGTAGAGATTGTGAAATAGAAAAATAAGAATAAGGAAAAAATCTTGATTTTGCAAGAAAAAGTGGGTAAAAAATCAGGACACCCTGAGGAGTTGTGGGATGTTAACCCTCTCTCAGAAATGGCCAAAGCTACTCTACTTTTATGCCCAAACAGTCAATTAACATTCCCCTCAACATTACAAATGCACTCAACTCAAGCCCTTTCATCCACCAGTGAGGCAGGAGTCAGTGTACTTGGTTATCAGCGCAAAGAGGCGACACCTCATCTTAGTTTGATATCAGACGTGTGAGCCCGCTGCAATTCGATGGCTATCTGAGAGCTCCCACTGAGTGCTTATGAAGAAAGACTGCGAGAGTGGAGAGAGGAACGAACTGCCCATCTGCCCCTGTGTCACCACAGAAAGGAGACATTGTCACGTTTACCAGAGCCACGACACAGGAGATGACTAGTACTTCTCTCTCCTCGCCTGTCCATCTCCTCTCCGTCCCCCTCTTCTGTTCTCCCTCTCTCTGTCCCCGCTCCTCCTCTTCATCCCCATCGCCAAAAGAGCTGATCTTGTTTGCTATGAGAAATACAATCATGAATGATAATAAGATATTCTTATAGAAACAAACAGGGTATAAGAACAACAATAATATTGATAACATTGTGAATAACAAAGATGTTAGTAAGGATTATGATAACACTGCTTATGATATCACTAAGTTTTTCTTGTTTTATGTTCTGTTGGTATAATATTTCACTACTGTTTTTAGTATCTGTAGTTGAAGGTTGTTTTTAGTTCAACTAACAAGCCAGAAAGACTGAGTCAGGATCTCGAAGGCACATTTAGCACTGACGGATCCTTATTTGATGTTTCAAGATGTTGCAAATCAAGTGCACACACACTTAAACACACACACACACACACACACACACAAACACTTTTTGTCAGCCTGAACTTGTGTTACTGTGAACAACACATTTCGTCAGAAGCTGAAGATACTGAGAGGAAGGAAGGACGTGCCTTAATGGTCTCCAGTGGATGTGTCCTCCAGTTCACATGCGGTCCTCACACGGCAGCCACCAGGACGGACCAGCATGCTTTTTAGGCTGCTCGCTGATCTCTTCACGATCATGAGCCAAAACTGCAGTAAAAATTTACAGCAGGTTTGAGACGCTGCTGCTGATGGTTTCAATACAAGACGCCGTTGGAGATGTTTTATAACTTCGTAAAAATGATTTCATATGTCAAGTATGGGCAGTGACATTATGAAGCAGTTGTATTCAGGACGTCCCACCGTCACGGATAGACGTCTCACATCACAACACGGCAGCCTTTAGACCACTTCTTTTATTCAGGTTACATGATAACAGTCACCAGGCACTTACTTTTTTCGGCCTCTCACTAGTATCTCGTAGAAGGCATTACTTTTCACTCACGTACTCACTGTCTGAGAGGTGCACACAGAAAAGCGTAGTTTGTACTTTGTGTATGATCAATATATATGCACTGTTGTTTATGTAGGCGAAATGCTACAACATGTGTAGGAGACTTGTTGTTGCCCCATGACAATGACACTGATAAAAGCTTGAGATATGGAGGATGTCTATTTGAGAGAGGAACACTGACTGAGGCGTCAGGAAGCCGTCCATCTTGCAAAAGCTCTCCAGCTTTTTACTTTGACTTATATAGATAGTCTTTTTAGCTGGAGAGGCCTCATTTATTGCACAGGACCTTTTACTCAGTGTAAGTTCAGACACTCAGTAGACAATAGACAAGCCTTATCATCCCATCATCCCCCCACCCCCACCCCCCACTGCAAGCTGTCTGGTGATGACTCATGGTATTACTGTACAGAATAAAGAAGCCTCTATTAGTTATTTAAAGGGTTGATTAGCTGGTGGTGTTAGAAGTTTAAGGGCTGCGTGAGACTGCGCAGGAGTGCTGGTCTGAGATTGGAGCTGCTGGAGTGTGTAGAGTGTGATCTTTGTCATTGCGGACTTCTATCTTATACCCTAATCTAAATGCACCACTGTAATAGGTTGGAGTGCGCGTGTGTGCGTGTGTGTGTGTGTGTGTGTGTGTGTGTGTGTGTGGAGGGAACCAAATCACAATTGAATGATAACAGCTGTTTTTTCCACTAACCTGCTGATAACTATAAAACAGCCTCACCTCCTCCCTCACCCCACAGATAAGCCAGTAAAAGTGAGACTGGTTGAGTTAGCCTTAAATCAAACAGATTCATCCCCCCACGACCCTCCTATTAAGTAGATTGGAATCTCTGGAATTTTTATACGAACACATTTTGAAAGTTCAGGTCAACCATTGTCAAGCAAGATGGTATAAGAATGAGAGAGGAGAACGGGAAATGAGGAAATAAGAACAAGCAGATGAAAGACTTTGGAGTGGGCATCAATCAGTGTCAGCATTTGTACGTTCAATCTTTTCCTTGTAAATAATATATTTAAAACTTTTCACTTTGTACAGTTAACAGACAGACAGGATGTAACTTTCAATATGTTTTACAGCAATTTAAGAAATAAACAAAACACTAATAAAAACTCATAAAAACAAAAAATACATGAACAAAAATAAGATAAGACACAAATATTACTAATCATAAGTGATATAATTGAATCTCTTTTTCTTTAAATCATGTTTACTTAATTATGATAGTTTACCAATCAGTATACTGATTATGTTAAGAATTATGCTTTTTCATATTTTCACTAAAGTGTTGGAAATTGAGGATAATTTACTGTAGGTGTAGACGTTTGGTGATAAAAGGGGAAAGTTTAGATTTAGTCTTTTGCTAAGTTTCCCTTGAATTGTGTTAGATTCTCTCTTTTTAAGGTAAGCTCTTCTTCATGCTTTTTGAGATAAATTAAATTATCTACACATTTATGTAATACAATATTACATGTATACATAGATGATATTTGCATATAGAGGCAGTATATTGTGATCCTTCATTTTTTTTAAGCAGCAATCCTTCTTACAAAACTTACAAGATATTTGTGTTTTTGTTGCCCGTTATTTTTTTTAATTTTTTTTTTTTTGACCTGGGCTCTAACAATCATTGCACACAGAATTTAGAGCCATCGTGGCCTGGCCTATCCTGTTCCCTCTCTATGTTTGGGATAGACATCACTGTGGTAAAGGAAGAAATATATGTGTATGTACACACATGTACACATATACATGTATAAACACATATAGACACACAAATGCACACTGGACATTTCCCAGTGTTGATGTTGTCAATATTGTGGAGGATTTCAGCACAATATCGTGGAAAACCAAGAATGAGTGTAGTTTCATCTTATTGAGAATCCACTTGAAGCTGAAATGCATTTGTGCAACCCCTTATTAAAAGGTACAGTATTTGTTGTGTGTTCGTCATGTCTCATTTTATGTAGAGAGTTTTGCTTCAGGGGAATCAACCATTGTTACTATATTTTAGCTCAACATATCACTAAACTGCATTATTTGACAGCTGAAAACACTTCGCTTTGGATTCTAATTTACTTTGTGCAACTTTGTGCACTGCTTGTTTTTCCGTATGAGAGGGGAAATATAATTTGTAATTTGTTGTGTACATAAGCAATTCCATGCAATCAGAAATTATTTCCCCCGCTCTTTATGATTCTGATTCCAATAAGTCTCCATAATCTTCTCCACAGCCCTGAGAGAAGAAATTCATCTCTCTTCTGTTTTTCTCCTCAACTGCTTTCATGTCTAGAGGGTTAATTGGAGAGTGAAAAATGCATCCATGTGCACTTAAACTCTCTTCATTTGCAATAAACAGCATGACCAAACTGCTCTTATTGTAAATGCTGTACTGAAAATGTACACTTTATGTGCCAATACATCAGTCCCTGCTGTTCTTTTCATGCATTGTAAGGCAAGCTAGGGCTAGTTTACAGCTGCTGGTTGGGAAGTCAAGGTGCACCTGACACTGTGGTAAACATGCTATCATCAGGCCTTTACCACCTCCAGCTGCTCTGCTCTGCAGCCAGTGTGTGCAGGTCAGGCAGCGATGCAGAGTAAGCATGGCTCATCAGATGTCTTTATTTCCCTTACGGCCAAATCGGTCCCAGCCACCCTTCTTTGCGCACGAGCATGCCACAACACATTTGTTTAGATGGTTAATGTAGAGCAAAACACTGTGTCACATTTTTACAACACAAAAGATGGCAAAGTTAGTGGGCTGAAACATCCTGATGTAAATATCATCTCAGCTGACGTGTGTTTTTCTGTTAGGAACACTGACACATGGGACCAAATAACAGCACCACGCGGTCAGCTACAGGTATCGATGCGCCGGTTAAACTGACTTGTGAAAATGTATTTTTGCATTTTGTGTTTGGAGAAAAAAGGTATTGACATGTTTGTTTCACATCAATATTTCTAACATAAAGAATTGAACTACTAATCACGGTTTTTATCAATGAGTCGCTTCTCATGCAAATTGGAAGAATTATGCTGTGATATTATATGATTGATTTGGTTGTGAAGGTCCATGTAATTTAGCTGCTTATAATTTTCCAATTCACCCTAATTCATTCCATTATTAATATTTTAAAGTTCTATCTGTTTGTACGTGTATTAATATGTATTGATATTGCTTTATATTGATGCATACAAAATTTTCTATTAAATTGTGTACAGTTTTGTTTGTTTGTTAATATTGCTATTTTCCATCTTCATACAGTTAACATGAGAATGGATTTCTTTACCTGAATGAAAATTGAAGATAACATGACATAAGGGGTTGCTACTAAATGTATTTCATAGGGCGGCCATGTTGATGAAAACACACATCGTCACTGAAACGACAAAGCCTGATTGAATTTACTGTGGGCTGACAAAAATGTAACATGAATAGCACCAGTTGCATATACAACGATTACATAATCTTATTCTTGGCCATTTTTTCGCTTTTTGTGGCCCTTTGAAATAATCCCCAAATTTTTACACCATACAAACAGAAAATGACACAAAAACAAATAATTGTACAGGTTGTGTAAATACTGACTATTGGGGACAACATTTACCTTCTTTTTTTGTATGGAAACGATCAAAGTAATCTCAATAACAAAATTAACCATGTCATGACAAAACTGCAAAAAAACATCATTAAGGTACTTCTAATAAGGATAATACTGATATCTACTATTATAAGTGCTCAAATAAGACTATTCTTTCTCTTTGTACATGATGAACAAAATGAAGTGTTGAGTATTAATAATAAAAAACTATAAGTTTCACAGGTATGGCACTGAGTCTTTTTAAACTTTTTTTGTGTTAACCTCTGAGTTTTGACACTTCATTTTCTCTCAAACACGCACATACTCCTATGCATCCTCTTCACTTTATTTGCCTGGTGTATTTATGTGCCAGAGAAGTTCCCCCTTCCTGCATCTCTTCATGCATGGCTCTCACATACCCCCTGCTTTGACTGAGTCTGTGTGCCCACTGTAGTGGACACACATGCAGTCTGTCTGGCCCTCCACCTGCTTTCTTTACCCCCTCTCTCTCTCTGAACACACACACATGCATTATCTAAAGCCACTCTGGGAGTTTTTCCCCTTGTTCTCTCTCTTTGTTTTTTCTTTCACAGACTTGCATTCATTGTCATTCTTTCACAGACAGTACATGTTTTTTCTGTCACACACAAGCTGTCTCTCTGTCCTGGCTGGAAGGAATTCCTGGGAGGGGAGAGGAAAGGAGAGGCCTGCCTGAGAAACGAGGGCCATATGGTGACTGTATGGTGGAGTGGTTGGGTCTGGGTCTATCCCCTCAACAACCCACCCTGCTGCTGGCGCTCCACACAGCCTTGTCTGATGCCGTCCAGCGCCCTCGGGGTTCTCCCAGGCTGCTCTCTCAGGCTGCTCTCTCCTCTCCCCCACACCATGGCTGCTTCTGCTGAACTGTGCAGCCGTACAGTAGACCTGCCTGACACCTTGTCAACGAAAGACAACTGTTATGTGTTCTCAAATTTAAACAGGTTCAAACTGGCACCCATTTCAGTTCACCTTTGAGACAGCACAAAGTGGTCTACAGGGATTTTTCTAAAACTTTATTTATCCAGGAGAGATCAACACTGAAATTGAGGATGTCGTTTACAACGAATAATAATTATCAGCCAAGTTTGAATAGTGGTGCTTCATGGAGATGGAAAGCCAGATTCAATGTCATACTGAAGGTGTGTGTGATGAGCTGTTTTGACCTCTTACATTACAAAACCACCTCAAATCCAATGCTTAATTGCTTTAAGGAGCTAGGACGTGTAGTCTGTAAATTTTACATTATGACATTTTAACAAGCAGATCCACAGTGACTTAAAGATGCATTAAGATTTTTACTGCCCTAGTACAAAATGGCCACAATATATCTACCAGGGGTTGATAGGGTTGTTGATCAATACCAATGACTCAACGGTTACTTTGTCAGATACTGAGACTTTCAGCGTTCTCCACAGGTGGTCAAAGATGGATGATGGGTGCTTTGTGTGAGTAAACCAGCACCACATTTCATTCTCCAGCCAGAAAAGCAAAGCAGTGTTAATTTTCTTTTGCGATACATCTTCCCTTGACTCAATGGCATTCGTGCTCTCATTAGATTATTTAAAATTTATGCAATTGCCTGGTCACCAGTTACACATTACTTTCCCTTCAATAAGATAACCCTTATCTATCTAAATGGGACCCTGGGAACATAGGGATGATCATGCTCACAATAATAATGCTACCATGCTTGTTTAGAAGATAATATTTACCATTTTCACTATCATAGTTGCTAATTAGCACAAAAAGTAGCTCTAGTTCGGAATGTCATTAGGTTTTGGGGATCAACCCATTTTACTGAAACAATATGTAGCCTAAACCTCATGAAGAGAGAGAGCTACATTTAGGAACTCAGACCATCATTTCAGCTACCTCCCAATATAGATCCAGAAGTGGCTAGACTGTCTCCCTTCTCCGAGCGCAGACTCTCACCTGCACTCCCCATAGACCACAGCTAGGAAATAGCTGTCTGCCAGGGAACCTGGAAGTTCAGAGACTGTAAACTTTCTGACAAGAGCAAACTAGGCAAACACAGTCAGGCTCCACAGTATTGAATGGTGCAAAACAGGCTACCTGCTGGACATGCTATAACTAACTAACTTAGCAGCCACTCTGTATGCTTATCTGACCTACTCTAGTTTTGTCAATACCTGTACACAGCAGCCCGCCTGTCCCCCACCCAGCTACGATGACACCCACCTGAGCATCCATCATCCCTGTAACAGCACCGCCCCCCCCCGCCCCCCCCCCCCCCCATCACTCCTACCATACATTAATTTTTCAGTCACACTGGCAAGCACGACTTATTCAATTATTGATGGAGGGAGTGAGGTGTGAGGAAAAAGGGATGAGATATATTGGTAAGATAGACATTTTTGGTTTGAGGTTGGACACCACCTTAAATGTGAAATATCCCTACTGTACTACAGTTTGATATTTTAACTGTCAAGGAGTAACACAATGAAATTTGGAGAGCTGGACAGTCTGAGCAGAAGCCCGATATGGGTGGATCTGAAGGCCAAAACCATTGGCAGCTCTAATTCAACAGCCAGTAAGAGGCAAAACCTTGCTCTGTGTCTGCCTCTCAGCATCACTCCTTCCTGTTCTCCTGCCTTTCACCTGATACTCTCCTGAACACTTCCTTTCCTTTTGATTCCCTACTTCTCCAACTCTCTCCTGCTCTCTTTAACTCTCTTTATCCCACTTTCACTCCCTCTCTCTCCTATGCCCCCTTCTATTGTGTGTCAGCTTGAATTATTACAATGGAGGGAGAGGTGGTGGTGGTGGTGGGAGGCATTGCGGTAATAAAAGGAAGAGGGGCCCGTGAGTTATGGATGAGAGTTCAGTGGATTATGGAGAATGAGAGGGGGAACAGGATGGAGGGAGAAGAGGAGTAAAAAGGACAGGTGACAATAGTGCAGGTGCTAGAGTACTTCAATAAGTCCAATAAAACAAGCTTCCCTTTCAGTGATACAGCTCACTTTATCCTTGAAATTTGTGACCTTAGAAGACTTTTGTTTTTTTTGTGTGTCATTCTCTTGTTCTCTTTTACCATGTTTTTCTATCATTGCCTGTTTTTATAAAGTACTTAAATTTGAACAATTAACAGTAACCTAGCAACAGGATATATTATGTCAAAAAAACAGAGAGGAGAAAAGTCTGAGGCAGCAATGAAATGTTAAGTGTATTTTTTACAGTGATGTCGTTACATACTAATAATGCATTTCAAGCTCATCTTTCAGTGAATGTAAGACAGAGGTTCTTAAAGATCATACAAGAGCAGTTGAGTTGTTTAATTTAACATAATTGCTGAATTTGGGTTTAATGGAAGATGCATGTGTGTGAAACATGCTGATTACACTCTTGTATGTAGCCTCTGATTTCACACACCAGCTGGACAGCACACCAGAATTCATAATCTAACCAGAGGATGGAGACTGCATGTGATCAAACAGACACACAATGCGTATAGGAGGTGGCAGCATATTTCATGAAGCAGCATTTGAAGAGTGAGAGAGTAAACACTGGAAATTGGCAAGAGTAGAGGATGGTTGTTGGCACATTTTTTTTCCTGACCTCCAAATGTCCTATTTTGCACTGGCACACAGCCATCAAAACAAATGGTTACGCAGGAGTGAACTTTTCTGGCTGAAGTTCACAAATTCTAGCTTAGCTTAGCTCAAAGACTAGAAATAGGGGGACACAGCTAGCCTTCTCCCTGCTTAATCCATTCAAAAAACAAAGTTTAAACATGACCATTCAACATTTTACAAGGGATTTCGTGCCTGCGTACTGTTTCTTGGGTGGGGCCAGTTGTCAAGCAAGCGTTGTAGAAATTGTCTGGCCAAGAAATAGCCTCTTGTAATACTACAAATTGAAACATTTTTGATTTTGGGCCAAATACAGAAAAATCTCAGAAGTCTCAGTCCATGTTAAGGGGTAACAATGATATTTTTCAACACAGACCGTATTTTCCCATGTTTTTGTGTCTCTGTGACTAATTGGGACAACAATTTTTGAAACTGGCCCAGTTCTGAGCAAGCAGCAGTGAAGAGGGGTTGCAACATAATCATTATGCAAGGAAGGTAAAAATCAATGGACAGGTAGACTTTTTGAAGATACTTGAGGAAGTTTTGCTTTTCATCCAAGAGTCTTCTACTTTTCTGACTGACTGGCAAGGAATCACCAGCTATTTAACCTCTGTGTGGGGTTGTTGTCAAGATGATCGATACCACTTGGTTCGTTAGTGCTCTAGGCTGTTGTGACAACAGCCATTATGGTCTTGAAGACATCATTGGCATCCTCACATGAAGCCAAATGTGAGCGTTCGTTCAGTTTCCGGGGAAGGGATGAAAGAACAGCATTGAATATGGGGGATAAGTGGTGTCACAAACCTCCTCCCTTGTTGAGAGATGATCTCTCAGCAGGAGAGGAGGATTTTCAACAGCACATCGCTGCGTTTAAAAAGGTCCACCCAAAAGCACACCCAAACACAAGACAAGTAATCTAGTGAACCAAGCTGTGTTGACCCCACAAAGGATAAATCGCTGGGATTCGCTGCGAGTCAGTCAGAAGTGAAGAAGTCTCTTGGATGAGTATCTTCAACCAAGTCCAGTTGTCCTTGATTTGAGAATCTTCACAGAGAATGTAATCCTTGCGGGCAATTTTCCTCGTCAAAGTACATCCACTAGTGTCTGACAAAAGTGTGGAAAGGATCCCTACAGAGATAATCGTTTTTAAAGTGCCATATCCTTTTTGTTTAACCAGAAACTGTCACTATATCACTCTTGTCAAAGCCACCAGACTCCACTGATAAAAACTGAAATTATTGTCTTTGTCTTTACATGAGAGTGCTATTGATCTTCTCATCCCTCAGCAAGAAAGCACATATGTGTATTGTCCAAAATGTCCAACCCACTGCTTGTTTCTCCTTAACTTGTACTTTTACCGTGTGTCAGAAATGTTCACTGGCAGTATACCTTCTTAGCACAGAGTAAATTCATCATCAATTTAAACTTTTAAACCCTAACCAGGGTTTAGCAAGTGGTCCCTGTACAGAAGGTCGGACTTGATGGTAAACCAACTGTCAAAGCTCTGTGGTACAATGGCCCAGCTGGCTAGAGTGCATACCATGTAATTACAACATCTTTTGTTGAAATCTATTGGACTGAATAATCACCTACAGTTACCAGAAAATAAAG